TATCCCGGTACTGCCTAGCAGCCTTAGCGATGCTTGATACTCTGCCAACATAGTGAGTGCCAGTTCCTGAAGCACATAGCTTACAATCTAAACAGATAACAAATGACACGGCAGGAGAAGAAATGTACAGAGAGAGAGGTGAGGTGACTTACCCCATGCTGCCCAGCAGATGAATAAGGGAGTCAAACACAGATGCTAGCTCTCACGATTCCAGTCTGCTGCTCCACTGAACCACTGTATTTTTTCTCTGCAGGCAACCTACCTTTCTTTGTTGGTTTAATCCCACTGTATAATTTCTATCAATAGATACAATATGAAGCTCAGTCTGCTTGGATACGAACTCTTCCAGGGAGCATGTAAGGTTATTTAAATAAGGTTCAGGGATTGTCGAATGATAAAAAGCAAAACACCTGAGAATTAGTTTCAGTTTGAACCCTGCCTTGCTCTGTGGATTGAATCCCATAACTTAAAATGACCTTGTTTCTAATTTTTGGTATCCAAACAGATGCTTACTTTTATTTTAGCAGAGCATTTTCTGTAGCACTTGAAGTTTTGCACTTTTGTTGGAATACAAAGCTGCCGCTAACAACTTACCACTGACCATTGCTGGAGCTCGAGGCGGAAATTCTCAAAGCTCTTCTCTGCTTCAATATTTTTGTGACCAGTGTCTTAGGGGGGGCTCTGCTCTCAGCCATGTGGGTTTCCCCAAAGATTTCCCCAGGGAACGCAAACTTCCCTGTACAGAAGCTGTTAAGATTTGTCTGCCCTGGACAAGGCCAGACCCCCTGTCAGGAGGCAGCAGATACCCATCACTGAACCCTGATCCCGAGAGTCTGTAGGATTTCTTCCTATATAACATTATGCATTAACAGTTGTATGCTTCTCTCCCGCCTGATTTCTCCCCACAGTCAAGCATACAGTTTGTGAGACTCAAGTAGAGCAGACCCAGTCACCGTGGTTAGGTCTTAAAAGATCCTTTCAGGCGTAAGACCTGAAAGCATCAGACAGCACTCTACGCAGCACCAGAGCTTTCAAGACAAAAATGCGACAGAGAGCAGGAAGAAAGTAAAGGGCAACACCGTCAACAATCTCCAACTTTTAAAATAGTTGTTTTAAGGATCAAAACCAGGTAAATATGTTGAAAGCACATTAGCGAAAACACAAAGCTAGACCTAAAACCAAAGCTTCTTGAAATTATTGGAAGTCTTTCCATTGCCTTCGGTGGATTAATATCACACTGAAGAAGTATTCCAAACAACAGTCAGTAGGAAAACACTGAATCAAGTAACACACAAGAAAGCTGAAGGTTTTTTGTGCTCTAACTGAAGTCTTCTAATTTAAAAATCACAAATCATAACAACATAATGTAGATAAAGTGGAACCCTCAGACTGCCAGACTGATTTACACTCTGCCAGCACTAAATCCCTTCAGATACAGACCCAGACAGGGGAAGTTGTTCAAGCTGCTAAAATAAACAAGGTATTTTTTCCGGAAGCAGAAGAGATATGGAAACAGGATCCCTCTCCTGTCTCTCTCATAAAACTTCAGAAATACTCTGAAGGCTGGACTGAAATGTTTATTTTGATAGCCAACAGTCAAAACCAAAATATTTTACTTTATGAGAGTCATCGTGACAAGATTACTTGTGAGTTTTTGAGATAAATCTTGCTTTTTCTAACTTTAAATGAAAAAAGGCTGCTTTGAACGTTTTCATAATCAATATAAAATAATATTGTGGAATTTATTCTTCTGCCTGCCGGGTAACTTTAGAAGACTTTACTGACTTATTAAATCAATATTTACTGATTTACGCTTTTGACACAGAGCTGTTGCTTTTGTTATATTCATCCTGGCAAACAGAAATGGGTATAGGACAGAGTAAAGACATGCTTAGACATCTAAATTGATGAATTTAGTGAAAAAGGACTGAGTTTAACAAAGACTAAAAAGCTTATTTTCTGTGTAAGTCTATGATTCTTTAGTGCTTAATATTATGTGCTGCAAAATTGTTGTAACCTCTAGTATTTACAGCTGATTAAAATATTCTACAAAACTATTAATCAATAACTTGCTCTTCCTTATCTCCCCCTCGATAATATGGAGAAAATCATTCCAAGACCTTTTGTAAGAGGCATACTAAGTAATATAGAGGAGAAAGACATGCTTGCCAACTGTTAGAAAAACATACCTTAAAATTAAGTTTCCAAGTGTCATGTTGTCCCTCACCCCGCAGTTACGCAAACGTGGATCCCAACATAAGACAATTTTGCTATTTCACATCCATTGAAATTTCTTCTCATACATTCAAAAAATTGGTCCAATAGCAGATCTGGGCATAGGTTGAGGCCCTGGAGTTCCCCCTACTCTTCTGTATCTTTTAAAAGTGTGGTCACGCTTGTGATATATTCCCTGGTTCACAACTGTGACGTTCAGCACAGTCAACATGTTATCCCCGTTGTTTATGAGACTTGCCGCACTACCACGACCATTTTGGGAAAAACAGTGGAAGATAAGACTCCATCTGGCTGGCTTGCAATGGAGAAAAAGACTCATGCTTCATCTTCAAGATGAATTACAGTTGAAAACACAAGCAAATTCCTTCCTTCCCCATAAGTATTTCCTTTATGCAGATGGAAAAAATTAGCTGTGGCTACTGATCGGGGAAAATCTGCAATTGCTTTACCTTGCTAATGCTCAACATGATCTGTTTTGAGGATACAGCATGAAATATGCGACTAGTCTCTTCCACAACAAAAAACAAGTTCAAGTAAGATATTAGTCATAAGGGCATAGGATAGAGATGTTCCTGAATTTAATTTTCTTGTTCCTAATCTTCCCATGCCAGGTGCTGCCCAGAGATACAGCAGAATACATGGACACACCCCCATCCGCCTTTATTTTTTTTTCCTGGAAAGAGAAGATTAAGACTACATAACAGTTATTTGTGATTGACTTGATACCTCTCTAAAACCTTAACCGAGTTTACAGCTAAGGCAGACATATTTCCCAGATAAGAACTGAATATTTATGTAACGTACAGGTTTGGGAAAGGGGCTTTAAAAACCTTTAACTCCCAGGCAAAATCATAAGAAGTCCAAAGTTTCTTTACTTGTTTCAGTACAGCCTTCACAGGACTGCAGCAGAAGACTGCATATGACTCTAAGAATTACTTGCGTGGGAGAAAGTAAAAATTACTGTTGAGTGCGCTAACGGTGCTTATCAAGGTGAAAAAATGCATGGCAAATATTTAAATGTTGGAACTTGCTTAGTATTTGTTTGTGTACTGTGAGAGAAAAATACACCCTCCTCTAACTTAAAAAGCTCGTGTGATCATCCTCACAGTATGCACATAAGGCATAAATCATTTGGAGGAAGTTACTTTTGCCCTGCTTGACCGTGATGAGCTACTGCTGTGCAAAGATATTTTAGTCAATATGTATTTGACATAATTTGAGCCAGTCTCCTAGGTAAGAGTTATTGGTTGTCTCTTACCTTGTTAATAGTAGTACAGAAATGAGTTGGAGAGAGTGGCTTATTAAGAAAATCTCTCCTTTAACTAAGACCCCGTCCCTTTAACTTATATAAATAGATGACTGTCACTCGAGTCAATCTAGAAATGTAGTTTTCTTGTGGCTTTTAGAAAATCTCTTTGACTATTTTAAGACCTGAAATCGAGTTCTAACTGCCTCTGTTAAAGATATCAAGAACTAATCGCAGTGGAACAGAACAGGACCAGAACTGCTAGCATCAGTTATTTCTATCTAGATTTACAAAAAGCAAAGTTAGCTTCAGCAATATTTCCAAATATTCATACAAATAATAGTAACATTCTGAAATAATTTCCTTTGAGCAAAGAATAAAAATGGAACAAATACTAAAGTTAATCTAATGGCTCTCCAGTCTTAAAATATACACTCCAGTTCAATGCTGCTCATGCTGTTGCATCTCATCTTCTAAATCGTCCTTTCAAAAATGATTGAGCAACCTTGGTAACTCAGTTTCTAAAGTAGGTTCTGTTCTTTTTGTTTAGAGGATGGTGGCACAGCATCTTTATTGACCCAAACCAAACAGGAAAAAAAAACCCCAATACTAAAATATATGGACAAATTCAGTTTTGGAGAGGAGATAAAAAAATCTCCTTCTGATTTTGAATAGGTGCATGCTTTTTAAATGAGTTGTGTGACAGTGGCCAGGATTGTCTAAACTAGGTTACCATTTCAATATAATAATCTTATCACTCTGAGACATTGAATAACCTAGTGTACTTTTATTAAGTAAATGGAAGCAGAGGTTAATGAACATTTATTGGACCAATTAAACACCTTGAAATCACAGGCAGTCAGACTGAGAGGCAGCATACTGATAAGATCAAGTTTTCTTTACAAATCTATGAGCCCCTGTACAAAAATAAAGTATAAAAGGGGCAAACAGAAATGTTTTGTTTCTTCCCAAACCCAGGGCCACTTCTGAGGTCACATTCAGCATAAATTTAGAGAAGTCCAAGAGGTGCTCTAAATTATGCAGTGATATTTACAGTACTAGGAGGACTCTTCTCCAGTTGGAAATTATTAACAAAAATCATAACATCAGCTCTGCACCTGCACGAGGCTTCCCCACACAAGGGAAACTTCCAGTTGAATTTATGGCAGCTCTTTGCCCTCTATATGCCATACAAATAATATAGACGGATCAGAAGTGTTTGGGCAGGAGTTAAGGGAGGTATGGATCCGGCAGGCTAAGGAATTCTGGGTTTGCTCTACAGATTACAGAACTGTGTGGCAACTGGTTCACAGAGTTAACCGGGCTGTATGGTTTAGCTCTATTTAAAGCCTAGGTGGATTCTAAGTAAACTTTTTGCTACCTAAGGTTCTTACAATTCAAAACAGTCTATGGTAAAGAAGAGGCAGGACAGTATACCAACCGATGTGCTGTATGGTATTTCCTTTGTCTCTTGATAAAAGGTTATGCAGTGAGAATAAAAGACTCAAAACTCTCAAAGTCAGTGTTTTTACTGTGTAATAATAACAGAATGAGTAACTTCACTTAGAGAAGAAAAGCATATTAGTTATATTAAATCACTACTTATTTCCATCTACATAAGGCAGAAGCACCCTCATGGGCCTATGAGTTTTCTTTCCTTACAGGCTGCAGATACAGAATCTTCAAGAAATTCATGTTAACAGAGTCAAAAGTGTGTAGTCAAACCACTGATGGTGGACTATACCCTAATTATCAAAACTACTTTACCTGTTTAACGTCATAAACATTTGAGATGCGGAATGTGTCACTGAAATCAGATACCAATGCTTACCAGAGAAGATGTTTATATTTCTAACATCAGAAACACTCCACTGCCTGATTTTCAGTAGGTCTTGTCATCTTTGTGCTTTACTGGGAAAAGAGGTAGTTTTGAGAGTGAATTGACCTGTCACTTTGATGAGCTCAGCTAGTGTTTAATACTACCATTGCAACAGCTGATCTACAAGAACACCTGCTAAGATTCATCCAGAACTAAAAAGACACAGCACTACTACTTGAAAAAATACCTCTTACTCACTCTATAGTTCACAGTTTGTACCTATCCCCTTTTACAGGGGCTAAATCCAGAACGGATGAACAGCTCCTCCTTATTCACTGGCTTGTTTATGCTAGGCCTATACAAGATAATTTCTCATTATTTTAGTCACCAGTACTCCACAAGCTATGAAGTCAAGGGGCTCGGGTAAGATCCTTGCCCTGGGACTCAGTCACCAAGTGATCCCCCTTGTAGCATCAGAGGGTTGTGTACCTAGGGCAAAGCTTTGGCTCAAGCTCCCTTCTGCGCTACCGACTGGGAGTCGTTTTGCGAATGCTTTGCAGAGTACACAAGTCGGCTGATTTGGCTGTCCTGGGAGCGTAGCTGGACCTAGATTTTGCCCACGGATTCGACAAGAAGAATAGATGTTAGGTCACCTCATCTGCAGGAGGAAGAGGCAGGAGAGAAGTAACAACTATGCACTGTATGATAAAGATTTAACATGAAGAACCTTTCCTCACTATATATCCAGTGGTCCCAAACAACAGTCTGTAGATCAATTACAGCTGATAGTTCAACTTTGAGGATAAATCCTTCAGGAGCACTGTATAATTTTAATAACGAATGCTAAACTTCATACTATACAATAGAGCAGCCAACTGAGCTTTTAAGATAAGTCATTTTAAGGAGCATCGTACTTCTGACACCCGAAAAGAGGTGGTAATACTTGTTTCCGTTAACCATTTTCAGAAGAAACATAAACCATCTGGGCCAGTGAGGGCATGAAGAAGGGAAACAAAAGATAAGGTTAGCACATGGTTAAATTTTTTACTTGACTCTGCTCTAATTCTAAATTAGTTCAAATTGTGTGTGTGAGCAGAGCCCCTGGAATACACTGTAGACTGTATTCCTACCAGGGCCTTCAGTTAATAGATTTTAAGAAAAGTTTTCTCACTGTAACAGTCACTGATTTGTTCTTAAAACTCCCTGAATAAATCTGTGATGAAATGAAGGACCCAAAAGCATTTAATTGTTGAACACATAAAAGGAAGTATATTTAAAATAAAAAAAAAAATTTGGTCAGACTGTAGAGTCAATTACCATTTTCAAAGGAATTTACAGGGCTGTTGTAGATGAGTCTTTTGGAATAGTCAGTTTATCGCAATGCCTAAACTGGTTTCTTCATTGCACGTTATTTTCTTTTAAAATGTGTGCATTTTTAAACAATTACATACATATTAAAAATCAGCATTTCTTTGCTTAAACTTAATTAAAACGTTAATACTCTCAGACAACACAGATCTGAAATGGTGAAACCAGTAATTGCCCCCTCCCACCTTACAACAAATTAAATTGAGACAAAATTACAAACACATTTCACTACATGATTATTATTAATAAAAATCATTTTTTTTTTATAAAGTTACCCAAAATGCAAGGGATGTGCATAGGTTACAACTTAGTCAGAATAATATTTTACTTTATTCCCTTGGGTACGTTTTCCCATGAACGGAATGTACTTTGCTGTAGATTACAGTTTTTTCAACACAGATACACCAACGGCATGAACGCTTGCGACTGTCCACATGCATTAAGAGTCAAGACCCAATTTCAAATTTCTAAAAATTTTACAGAGTTCTTCAAAGAGACAGTATCACATTACCTGGATGTTACACAAAAGTACTTAAAAATACTATTCTAAAAAAAAAAAAAAAAAAGCGAAGAAAGGCCTTTAAAATTTATGAGTTTGTTTTGTAACCACTAGACTAATTATTTCAAATAAATAAAGGAAAGCAAAGTATTCCAATCCATAAAAATCAGACTCTAAAAAGAATGTAGTGTTCCACCCCCAAGTTAAGGTAACAGAATCATATTATTATTACTATTAAAATAGATTATAGAAAGCAGCATCTATTTTGTGCAGTTTTTAGGGGCCTTTGAAATAAAAAGCTATGATTTCCAAAAATATAACATTCCAAAGGACTGAATAATACATTTATTTAAAGATACATTTTATTAAAGTTTAGGAGAAATGATTAAAAAAGAGATACTGTCTCTTTAAATTAGTGTTTAATTTGTCTTTTTTTTCCCCCCCTCCTCCTATCTATTAGGACATGACAATAATTATAAATTTAGGTCACACTACATCTAGGTAGTCTCTAGGGGCCAAGACCTGTTGACACAAGGTCAATAACGAAGAGGTTTTCCATGTATGAGGTGGTTCCCAGTAATGGTAAGCCCCCCCCCACCCCCCCAATTATCTGGTGACTGGCCTAATAGACCCAGGAGACAGGAACCCACTGTGATGCTGTACAAACAAGCTCAATGGCTTCCTCCAGGTGCCTGATTGTTTCATCAATTTCATTGTTGATAATTGTTAGATCAAAGTAGTGTGCATATGTTCTCTGTAAGATTTCAGACTCCTTTTGCAGGCGCTGAAGAGATTCGTCCTATTCAACGATCAGAAAAAGAAAACGGGAGAGGTAAGTTGGATCCTTTCATAGTCCTGTACAACCGTTTTCTAGCTGTTGCTTACAGAGAAGAAAACAGCCAAAAAAAAAAAAAAAATCAGTTTGCATGGCTGACTTAGACCAGCTGCATAATTCTGTGGAAATTGCAAGGAAGAAATAGCACAATTTCTGTCTTGAAAAACACATTCAAACACAATTCCTTCACTGACATCACTTGGGACAAAACACTCGTCTAGGATTCACAAGGCAAGACACACGATGAAAGCTGAGAAAAGCAGCACAGACACGGAGCAGGGGAGACCACGTATGAATAAAACCTACAAAGTGCACAAATACAAGCTGTTCGGCCTACGTCCAGGTAAGAAAACTACAAACAGGATCGGGTATATTGTCAAGTATCAGCGGTTCCCAGTTCTGGCAACGTTTTACTGTTCACCTTCGGGGTTCACTTCCTTTAAAAGCGTTTATTGTTAAGGAACTTCTCTCTCTGTCATCACCCTGTAGTTCCTGTTTCAGACCATGCCTTTTCTAGCATTTCCTAGCGTGACGTTCTGAACGCTGACCGTGCCGTTCAAGCTCAAGATGGAGAGTGCCAATCAACTCTGTATCTTCATGGTTTTGTGTGAATTTCCTTGCAGAACCATGCACGTCCTATTTTGTGGGTGCTGGGCCTGATTCTTTATTGCCAGCAGTGCTGCAGCAATGGGCTATGCTGGCTGGGCCTGGTTTCTAGAAGGAATAGGGGTTGCAGAAAGCTGGTTTCTAGGGTTCTGCTGCAATAAGGAAGTACGAATTTGAATTATCTTCTTCCAGATTCCTTTAGATCATCTGCTATATCCTACAGATTGCTGCTTTCAGGAACTTTGAAATAGCCAGAGGAAAGTAAATAATTCTCTCCCTTCCCACCTGGTTTGGGGTGGATGTGGGGCAAAACTACGTAAGAACAGTATACGTATGAACAGAACTGTTGCTCTGTAGTGTCTATAGGGCTATCCTACTTGCTCCATCAGCAAGGACGCACTTCTTGATTATAATCAAGAGTATCAGGCTGCAGGAAGTACAGAAACAATGCGGATGGCCCTTTTCACATGAAATTATTTCAGGAACAGAATTTTATCTGCTTAGTAAGAAAGCCTTCTGTTAACTTTCCAAGTATTTGTAATTACACTGACAAGCAGATGTGGACCAGTGGCTTTCAGGTCCTCTGAAGGGAGTAACCTGCGCTGAGACAGTTCTCCTTCCCTATACTATGAAATCAGCCACTTCCTGAGGAGAAGTTCTGTATCAAAGTTACAGTTCTGTTGGTTTCCTGAGCCTGCAGCCCCAAATGTGGAGGGAATGTCACCTTCTTTTGATAATAACCAAAAATTCCATTTAAACAAAGTCAGACAAATACTTTTCACATGCACTAATGCATAGGGGATGTTCCTTTTACGGAACATTATGCAACTGCAGCAACGCTTGGGACGTCTGCAGAAAATATCAAGCCATTCCTATTTATTTTATGCTATTCTCAAATTGATCAATATGGATGAATACTAATATTAAATATTTCTGTGGAACAATTTAAATGGCACAGTGGCTTTGAGCCAAAAACCTAGTTAGGTAAACTGGCAGCTTTTCATAGATTTCAAAAGATAGACAACAGTTTATGTCAGCTAAGGATCTGATCTTTTCAGTTCAAATTAACCTATACAGGAAAAAAAAATCATGCTTGTTTAGCAGAATGCTTTTAGTGCTTTAAATATATCTAATTAAGAATAATTTTATTTTTAAAGCCTGTTTTAGTAAAACCACACTGAACCTTTAAATGAGTTTTAATCTCACGGTACAAGACTAACGCTGTCTGAAAAAAATCATGAAGACTTACTTAGCTCATATGTAGCTCTAATTGTTACTCAGATTCCCCATCAGTGTCATCTTTACCTACAACATGCATGAGAATAAACTTTTTTCATTAAAGTACCTATCTTACTGTGGTTAACATACCAGAAATCTGAAAAATTTATAGCTATCTCAGCTTAAAAAAACAACAGGTAGGTAAAAAAGAATAAGAGGAAAAAAAAACCTAATAATAAATACTAATATTTAGCTTGCTCTCTTAGATATCACAAAACTAAGAGTTTCAAAAATTCATTAGATTTTAATATTTTCCTGACTTAGTTGCTCCAAGATTCAACTTTACTGGGTTCTAAGGGGCTTGTATTTCGGAATATCTAAATTTCCCAGCCTGTTGGAAATGTAAAACATTACTTCTATCACATACTCTTAGGAGCAGTAATAAATTTGGGGTAAGCCATAGCAGCAGTTCTCAAACAAGTTCAAACTTTTGCAAATTCTGTAGAAAGAAGGTAGATTACATTTCTTGATCTTTATTTTATTCTGGGGCCAAATTTTACCTATGTTGGTGATGGAATATCTTTTTGTACATCCAAAACAATGTTGGACTTAGCTAAGAGTTTCTTGTAAGCATGACTACTAGTTAAATGCCAAAATGCATCTTTGAAGCTAACACTTCCTCAAAACGTATGCTGTAGGAAGTTCCTCCTACTTTTTAAAAATTCCTTAATTAAATCTTGAATAGCAAAGAATGCAGAATATTCTCCAAAAGAATATTCTCCAGAATGTGTGCTTTCAGTAGTGTCAAGAAATAAGATATTTATCAAAGTATTCAGATAATTGGAGACAGAAAAATGAATGGCCACTTCTTTACTTTCACATTTGGGAGCAGACTACGTCTTTTCTTCTCCCCTCAGCTCTTCTCATATAATAGATATTATATATGGATCTAGTTGGCAGGGTGTCCATTATTTGGAACAGACCTTTCTTTCCTATCACTAGAATTACATTCACTTTGCTAATCTTCTTTCTTTCTCCACCACGGCTGGGATGGAAAGGAGCGAAACATGATTTTTATGCATAGGCATAGTGGCCATCGGCGAAATCGTCAGTCTCTTCCATCTTGAACAGCTTTTTTTTTTTTTTTTGGCCTTAAAATACCTTGGACAATAGCTGCCATTTGTGACAGCCAGGCACAAAGGACTAATATTCCCTTCTAAGGTTGTGAGCAAAGTATAAGGATGCCATCAAGCCTTTGGAAATTTTGCTGTAACAGGAAAAAAATTCTTCTTGATTTGAACAGCTGATGGTCTGCAAATACCCTAAGAAAAATCCCTTCTACTCTATGGCTACAGAAAAGGCGGAAGCATAGCTAAAAGGGAGAAGTTACACATGGCTCAGGGAAGATTCAGATCACAGAAGTGGAGCCTGTCAGCTCCTCTGTGTTGCTGCCTGGCCAAGGGAGGTGGTGGTGGGGGGGGGGGGACTTCTGGAGGGCAGGGAACTACTCCCAAGTTTCCCAAAGTGCCCTCTCCTCTCTCTGCTTTACCGCACTGACAAACTGATTTAAGTTTTCTTTGCAATGAGACAGGTGGGTAGACTATGGGAGATTTCCTATATGATTTACATTGGTTTTGTCCTCTGCAGAATTGCTCATAGTGCATTGCTACATTCAAACAGAAAGTGTAATATTTTGTCTCCTGAGTCCTACCAAGTCCTACCATGTCACCCTACCGTGTGTATATTGGGATATTCTGTGTGTTTTATGATAGGCTAAATTGTCTCAAGATAGATATTTTTCAGATCAGGCCTTTGCACTGCTTTTACCATGAAGCCCAGATGTACAGTTCTAAGAGTATTTACTCTCTACTTCCTTTTTATTAGCAAATAATCCTTCTTACATGTATTTTGGCACAGATGTCTGAAGTCCTTATGACATTAAATTTTTATTCAATAATGAAAGTTATGTTGAATGGGAACAAGCACATCTACATTCTAAAACTACTAAAATAACCAGGACTACCTTATCAGCTCCTAGCTGGTACTTACAGGCAATTTTCTGCACCATTTTGGCAGCTATGTACAATTAGTACGAGCGCAGGAAAACGAAAAGAAAAGCAAAGATGAAATTCAAGAAAAAACATGGCAGGGGGGAAAGGATAGTCATTTACAGAAGTGTCTGCATAAGAGGCTCGTAAAATAAAGTAGGATAAGAGGATAAACAGGGTGGAATAGTTATGCAAATGAAGCTTTCAAAAAGGAAGAATGAATGAGAAATATGAAACATGCACTCCAGAATCTTGTTTGCTCTCTCGTAGGCTGCTAATACACAGACATAATTTGCTTATCTCTTCATGCAGTACAGTAAATCTTGGAGAACACGACACTGGATTGGGGTAAGGTCTGCTGCTACTGCTGTTTCTGCCCCTTCCTTTCCTTCAGTTTAGCTGATTCATAAATTAGGATGATTAATAAGTGTGGCCCGTGCTCAGCAGTCTATGTACCTGAGTGAATCCCTGTGTGCAGAGAGACTTTAATCACTAGAACTTACCAAAAAACCCCCCAAAACTCCAAAAGAGAGGAAGGGAGAGGGAGGGGGAGGGAGGACATAGCCCTAAATATTTAGAATGTAATACTTCTTTACTTTTGCTAATATTTCTTTGCCATGAATAAACATCTCCCTACCAGTACTAAAAAAGGTGAATGTCTCTCCTCTTCTCAGTGTACCATGGAGAACATTTTCTCCCTCATATTAACTGTCCCAAATTTCTCTGTATTATATTCTACAGCTGGAAGTTCAAAAGGCAAGTACCTCGGCAGATGCGTGAGGCCAAGGATAAGACTATTTGAGAATTGAGACACAGGTATGGAATAACACACATAAGAAATTACATAATTCCACAGAAAACTTGAGCCCACTTAGTGCTGCTGTAAGCGGAATGGTTGTCTGATGCAATCTAAGAATGATTTTTTTTTTTTTAAGTGACGTTATGCTATTTGCTTGCACAAGCGCAAATTCAATATAGGGTTCTGGAATACAAAATTTCAACATTTTCTCAAGACTGCACCAATTTACTGCATATGGCAACAGTAGCAGTTAGACAAACAGTCACCTCACTAATGTTGCTAATTGTGATGTTCTAAGACATCTTGGTTTGTACATTTGTGACACTAAACAGTTAGGGTATGGGTCCACAAGACACAGTGAAGTGACATAACTTACTGCTACGGAAGTGAAAAGATCCTCCTTCCCCCTCCCATCTCTCTTTCTGGCTATGCGCCTTCTCTGCCTGTTGTGGCATTGGTGCTTGTCAGAGCCTTTGTGAGCTGCTTGAAAACTGGCAAAAATCTGCTTTAAAGCTGAAGTGGCTCACTGAGGGATCTGGTAAGGGCCATGGCCAGTGCATACGAGCAGGCAGTACAGGTCCAGAGGCAAGCTAGAGAACCACTCCCTTCAGCAGCACTGAACTATTAGAATAGTTAGAACTATTAGAACAGAATCATTTAGGGTGTCTGTGTTTAAATACAAGCTTATCCTATTCCTTATCTTCCTACAAGCCTCTGCAGTGATGTCATAGTTTCATATTTGTGATACTGTGACTATATTTCTACAGAGTCAGGCTCCAGAGACAAGGATCACAATGACTTTTTTTCCCCCTCCATGGTCAATGGGGCATCAAGGACATTTGGAACAGAATCACGGCCAAAATCAATTAATTAAATACCTTAGTGGCAGGGTTCAAAAAAAGTTGAGCAGACAAAGTTTCTGGATAAATACTGTGTGCATTGATGTCACCTAAATCCTGAATTGCTTGAAATCAGTGGATACCCTATAAAAACTAAGGAAATGTGGGCCTACGGAAATTCAGGATATGGACCTGCATGAATACTTAACATTACTCCATAAGGAATTACCCCATTGGCCAAAGCTTACTTCTAATTCTTAGAGAATAGTCTTTGAAATTAATAAGCCTCTTCCTAATATATATGTGCTGTATAGAAAAAATATTTCAACAGAAAAGTGGAATGACGCACAGTCATGCACACCCATTTCTTAAATTCAGGCCAGCTGTAGTCTGGTGTTAGTAGCATTACAACTCACAATTGAGTAATTTGTGTTAATTATTTGTCAAAGATTTGAAAATGGATCATCCTTTGGCTAGAGCAGAGACTGAAATAAAACAATACATATTTTTAGCATACATCCTTCAATTTGAATCTCATTTTGAATTAGAAATATCAGTCATTAAATGATAAATACATCTCAGTCAAGTTCATATGTTGTTATGCAACTTTCCTTCTGCCTCTCTATTTACAGACAAGGAAACAATTGAAAAGTCTTATCTGCATATTTGAATCCCTTCCTTAATTCTGTCTCTGGTAAGGCATTAGATTGTAACATGTCTTACCTCATTAATGCCTGGGGTAATTGTAGGTGCAGCAATAAAAACAACAAAAGGAGCAAACTCTGCAGTTCTCAGGACCTTCAGTGCCTAGGTTAAAAAAAAAAAAAAAATCAGCTACTTTAGAAGAATCCCCAGTCAATATGGAATAAGTTTAGTCACAAGGGCAAAAGATACAAACCCACAATTTATAAAAGCTGGTTGTTGTTTTAATTTTTTTTTTGGAATCAAGTAATGCAAACGCTTCACTTTTCATACCATTCTGCATTTTGGGAGGTTCAAACTGTACACTTGTCATTAATTAAAGTGATTGTTAAGAGTTTTCAAGACAGTTAAGGCTTTAGCATTTTCAGAGAGGTTCTTCCCATAGTCAGATTATAGACTTCTGTTTACATGTAAACTGAATGGTTAATACTAGCTTAAAAAAATTCACAGTGATGCCATAAATGGTGGAAAAAAGACAACCATTTAGAATAAATGTTGATTAGAATATCATTTTTTTCTTGTCTGGTTCATTCTACCTGCTTTTATTATTATTTTTCTGAAACAAACAAAAATTTTGTGAAATGACAGGTACAAAGCTTTTAAAGAGCACAAAGGGTAGTGAGCACAGCAGTAATGCGGTAAATGCAGGACAGAGCTCCTCTGAACCAAATCTCTGCAAAAGCAATGAGAGTTCTCATTATAAGCTGACTTAGTCATAATTAATGAGTGACACAAAGAGCTACCATAAGTGAAACTGCTCCTGATCCAAGTCAGACTGAAGTGTAGGACAGCAAGTAAACACACCTCAGCTGAACTCAAATGCCTGGATAATATAAAGTAAGACTGCTAAGATTCCCCTTTTCTTCTTTTTTCTCCTGCTACTGCCTGTCCTCTCCAAAGTACTTTTCTTTTTTTGGCTATTTTTTTTTTTTTAATTCATCCTGTTCCCAAGCTGAAGAGGTCTTCATCTCTGCTGCTTGAAACTCACCTATAGAAATCACCAATGCAAGCTCCTCTAAACAAGAGAGCGAAACTTCATCTGTGAAAGCCAAGGAAACTCACATAACTAAAAATAGGCAAGTGGTGTAAAATAACTAGGGACAGGTCCAGGGACAAGCTGGCCTTAAAAGAGTTGAGACTCGTCCAGGAGGAAGGTGGTTAAGAAAGAAGTTTGCTAGAGAAGTGTTAGAAAAGTGTATCAAAAAAGGCAGTTACCAAATGTAGATTGGTTTGACCAAAATTAGTGCTTCTCACTGCATGTGACCTTGTGTTTCCATAACAAGTGAAAAATAATACAATCAAGAATTAAAACAGCACCTGAGAATTGCACTGCTTCTGAGCGTAATAGATCCAAGTTAGAAAGGTTTATTCTAACAGTTCACTTTTAACAACCACTCCATTTGAACAAATTATAAAAGCTGCTCTCCCAGAAAACTGTTAAATATCTGATTTTATTTTTTCAAAACAGTACCACACCAGCATACTATGTGAATTGTGCTAAATAACTTTGTCAGGTATCTTATTTCTGCTACGAAATTCTTACTAAAGAATTTTAATTTCTTGAATCCACTCACTCAGAAGAAAGAGAAGGGCAGATTTAAACAGACAACACTTGTCACAATTTAAATTTTGATCAGTGTTTGATAACCTGCAGACCTACTTTGTGGTTGGCAAGACAGAACACTTACTCCAGGAAAGAGTTTTCTTATGAATTAAATTGCTTGTTCTCTCAATCACCTTTCAAGTTATTTCAATCTGTCTTTTCTCCCATTGCCTTCAATCTGCTATATCAATACAAGCATCACATTTGTTAATATTTTATTTCAGTAACAAAACACATGAATATATCCCTGTGAACTGAAAATCATGAGTAAATGGGTGTTTCAAAGGAAAACGTATCGGAGTTTTACACTGCAGATTTATATACATGAATGACAAAACTATTGGTGTTTCTGGAATTCCTGATTTCCCTTCCCTCCCTCTTCCGAGGAACTATAATACCACAACACACAAAGGACTCCATAAAGTAATCACACTGATCTGGCCGCTCTGCAAACAGCATCAGTATCAGGCATTGACCCCACAGACTTTCTCATATGGAGCAGAGAGGCAGTTAGGGAATGAGATTACCCTCTAATACAGCATCAAGAGGGAAATTCCTCAACATATTAAAACCTTACTGCTGGCAGCTGCTGATAATCAGTTTTGAGTCACTTCACTGGACAAAAGATTCATATAAAAAATTACACAGAAAGTTGATTTTCAAGCAATAGCAGTCCTCCACCAAGCTAAACTATGAACTTTTTCTGCTGTATGTTCTTCTAACCAGATGACTAGAGAAGTCTACTTCATTAATTGACACCTTGGAGTTCCAGGGACTTTTGTCTCCACATTGCTGTATGCATGACTTAGTGTATAATCTATGATAAAAATAGATATATCTCAATAAAACATGGTTCAAGGAGTTAGGATAAGTCTCATTTTTATATAAATTACCTGAGGTTCTACATCAAGTATTGCAATTAGTCCCTGCTCATGGATCTTCCGTATTGTTTCCAGTTTTGTCCCATACATTGCATCCTCATGGCTGCCATATTCCAAATACTCATTGTTGGATATATCCTGCATCATTTGGTCATGTGATACAAAGTAGTAATTTTTCCCATTTTCTTCATCTTTCTTTGGAGGTCGGGTTGTGTCTGAAATTTCAAAGAATACAAAAGCAATATTAAATTTAAATATGGCATTTTGGTTGGTCATTCTGCTATGTCTCCCCTAAATGTTGTTCTTTTCTCAAAACAGTCTCTAATTTTATTTATTTATATTCTTATGAGGTTTTTTTCTTGAATGTTTTGAGTCTAAGAAGTGGCCGACTGCCTGATTACTTGTGGTCAAGACAGAAGAAAAGTTACTTACCCATAACTTACTTTCTGAATATATATTGCTTCTGCAGATCTACCTGGTAAGGGCTGTACGGCCTAACCCTTTAATTAACTACTGTCATGTGTGCACATGACCTTTAAGAGCAAGTTTTCAGCAGCTAGATATTCTCTTCATTAAGCACACCTCCAAACTCCACACCCAACTAAAGCCTATCTCAAGGGCTGCCTACTTCTTCCATGGTCTTGTGAAAGAATGCAGAAAATGCAAGAAAATCTATTCCTGAGAGTTGGAAAGAATAAATTCCTTTACCTGGACTGATCTGTAAGAGAGATCAGGTTCCCATAATACTTAAAGTACATGCAATATATTTATATTATCTGTTTCAGATATCTAACCCTAAGGGAGTATTTTGTATCCCTAAACATCAGTGTAAAGGGCTATTTTAAATACCCTAGAATATCTCATACATCCACATAGGTCTGGCACAGGACTTAAAGGAGACGAGCACTCTTCTGGAGTGAGGCTAGAGATCAGATGGTGTCTAAAACAGGTGCCTAAATTTAACACTGATGTTAAGCACCTGAATTGCATCTGGATTTGCAGTCTAGTCTTTTTAGTTTTCTTATGTAATTGGTGAAGCAATTTAAGTACTTCCACAGAGCACGAATCTAATGCAGGAAAAGGTGAGTCCGTTTAACAGGGATTTGAAGACAAAAGAGCTGGTTCAGCTTACAGCTCCCTCTGCAGCCGCACAACCTGAGAGGGCTTGGGTGAAAGGCACATTGTAAAACGTTTATTACTCTTCCTTTAGGTCTTTGTAATGGAGGAGAGAGATTAGCTCGGTTCCTAACCCCCATATAATCTTGTCTATACAGCATAACATAGGTGCAATGTACATCATACACTTCTGGCATCACACCGTTAAGTGCTAATTCAGGATTTTAGTATCTAGATATAGTCAGCAGAGTGACATACAGTGTAGTTTCACATTTCTGCTAAGGTGGTTTAACAACTAACGCTTCCAAAAAAGATTAGCTCTTTCCATTTTCCCTGTGCTTGTCATGGGGCATCTGACCCCTTAATGAGACCAGAGAGCTTAAACCAACAGCTAACTAACCCTTCTCCCCGCATCCAAATACATTTACAGATACGTTCTTAAAAGCAGTACTTTTTTAGCTACGCTTTTTAGCAACAACAAAATCCTTAGAAAAAAAACTCATCTGCAATTTTAAAGTAAAGCACTAACAAAACAGGAAAATATTTAAATTACTGGACAATGGCCATCAATGTCATTTCTGAGCAATGTATGTGGTTCTGAAGTCTGCCTGAAATAGAGCAGACAGATTTAGCTGGTAGATGCTCTTGTTTCAGAACATTTGGTTTTAGGAAAAGGGTACATATCTAACAGATCATTTACTAGGAATTGCAATTCCTGCAGTGGTATTGGTGGAGAGTGTCATGAAGGGCAATCATCTCAATGCTTTTGTTAACAACCCACTTGTCAGCAGCCAAGTTAATTGCATTTTCTTTTCCTTATTGTGAATGTCTGGAAACATGGAGTTATTTTAATATATTACCAGTCCTCAAGGCTGGGCTGTGAAAAGTAATTTAAAACATTTAGGTATGGCGCACTTAATAAAGATTTCCTCTAAATCCAGTTCATATTTCTATTCATGGGAACTGTGCACACTTTTTAATCTCAGGGCTGTGCCTGTTCTAACTAAACTGTAAGTGTAAAATTCGCACTTGCAGGATGAAAATGTGTGAAAAATGTTTCAGTTTTTATTCTAAATTAGCAGACATTTGGAGAAGAGAGAAATATGCTTAATAGGAAGCTTTATGAAATATTCAATCTAAAAGTGGTGCTATTTACTACCCCTCCCTCTGAAAAAACAAAAAAAGAAATATACCCAGCACTATCACATTTGACCCATCCTTAACATAAGATTCATCTCAGTACAACTGAACATAGGTAGTACCACAATAGGTATGCCGTCAAAGATGCTACATACAATTTTGTACTACATTTAATATTGCTACTTACGAGGAATAGGGTATGCAAATCTGTCTGGGTGTTTTGTGATGAGCGTGTTTTTTATATGTCTTCTTCCAACACCATGTGCACCTAATCCACAACACAAAAATTAATTATAAATTTGCTACCAGAAGAGATTTAAGACTAGCTGTTACGTTCAGAATAATAACTCAAAATTACCTAGTAAGACTAGTGTTTTCCTTTTGAATGCTGGCAGTTTTACTACTTCTTCATATGTGACGAGATCTAATTGATCAAACACTAAAACACATAAAAAAAAAACACCCCGCAGGGATAAGAGAAAAAGGCATATTAAGGGAGATAATTGTGCTAAAAATTAACAATTTTGCAAGTGTTAGATTTACAATACAAAGTAATATGATAAGGAAAATGAAACTATTAAGCAATTTAACAAAAAATGTTCATTTAAAAACTGTTAAAAAGCAGTAACAAAGCTACTGAAATGCTCAGAAAAGTTTGCATGTTCTTTCATGCAATATTCAGCAGACCACAAAAATTAGCTAAAAAGGCATGCCATTCACATGTTTGCATTCCTAAGGGATAGCAATACTAAAAAAAAAAAACTGTAGACAGCGACCGACATGAATACAATATGAGAACTTCTATTTACACTAAAGGGAGGGCATATTTTCATAATTGTATTTGAACAAGATTTATGAGATCAAATAAAGAGAGCTAATTCTTCGTGATATTTATTCTTCAAAACTACCACCACATTAATTGTAATTAGAGTTCTCTTTAAACACAAGTGCTAGTTAAATTCACATGCTTTTAAAACTTGTGACAGAATGAAAAATTTTAATGAAAAACGCTGACATTATTCTACATAAAAGAACCTCCACCATTGTAAAAATAAGTATTATTTCAGAAATAATTTCAACTGCAATGTATGAATTCCATCATGCTTATCAATCCGTTGTCAGTTGCCAAGGTATATAACGTTTGTCAAATCAACTTTTGTTCAATACAATCAGCTTGTTTCTGCTTGTGCCCAATAACACATCATTTGTGGTTATTTCTGCAGAATTCTAATGAAAAAATAAGCCAGGAGGCAGTGAATTATATTTTTAAAGATTATAGCAATTAGCAAGTGTAAAGAAGAATGAATAACAAGAGTTTCCAGTTTTGTATCTGTAGTTGCTGTAAAAAGAAGGGAGAGGAGACCGCATCTAACCTATGGCATCTTTCACTGTCTATAGACCCTGAACTGGTATATTTGCCTCAGCTGCCTCCTGTCTATCTTTCAGGAAGAGACTGAGCCCTCTGAGAAGGCACTGGGGGAACTTTGCTTGCTTGCTCCAGGAAGTCTTCAGCCACCAAGACCAGGGGATGTTATGACTGTGGAGTCTACCAGAAAGCACACGTTCTTTGCAGTATATTCCCAGTGAAAGAAACAAAATATAGTAAAGGGTTTAATCAATATATTTCTTTTTATAGGGCAGGGTTTTTTTTTTTTGGGGGGGGGGTTTGTATTCAGCTGCAGCCTTTTTACCCTGGAGAAGAGGTTCAACTACTTCACTGTGGTCAAACTACAAACAAGTCAACTGACATAATAGATCTGAAAACTTCCCAGTCCATTTGCAACGTTTTGAATTTCACCCTGAAGAAAAATCTCTTTCAACCTTTCCCCAAATATTACAACATATTTTGGAGCACAAATTTAGTCATATTTTGATTCTGTTCCAAAACCTGCCTGGACGCGATCCTGCGCAATGTGCTCCAGAGGACCCTGTGTGAGCAGGGGGGTTGGACTGTATGATCTCCAGAGGTCCCTTCCAACCTCAACCCTTCTGTGATTTTGTGAAACCTACAAATGTGGAATTCTTCCTCCCACCCTTTTTGCAACTTCACGGTATTTAAATTAACCAACAAGTTCATTTCATATTAGAAAGCGCTAAAGATCTACAAACGTTCAACAGTTCTACCATTCTAATCATCTAGCCCTGCAAGTATCTTTTCCTGTTAGAAAAAAAAAAAAATTATCCTTTATATTCTTCTTGAACAAAACCACATTATGTTAGATACAAACAACGGGAACAAACAACAAAAATGATGCATATTAATGCCCCCATCACAAACCAGGAGCATGGAGAAGATATGTCTCAGTCTACAGGGAGTTATTTAATGATTGCAGGGTTTTCAAACACAACAGGAAAATTATTATTTTTTTCTTATACACAAGATACGAGGAATACAGGACACCTATAAAGACTGAACTTTCAATGCTTCTGTAGTACTAGCTAATAAAGAAAAGGAGTTCTTGAAAGGAAACAGTAAGAAGCAAATAAAGAGGCATTGTCACTTGACAGGTTACTTACATGCACAGAGGCCATTGGGAGTAAGACAGCATGAAAAATGTACAGGGGTCATTGAGATATGGCTCATAATATATTAGTAAAATAAAAAGTATATGCACAAAATAAACTTTATCATGCAATAGTCTAAACACAAGGCAAATAAATCACATCAAGAAAGGATAAACATATTTTATAAAATAAGCTTGGCAATTTTTTACATCAGTTTAAGCATAATATGAAGCACAGTTCTAGTATGTTCTCTTTGTGTGTTATAAAGTCCTGCAATAACATTTCAGTAAAATAAAAAAATATATATCCAGATATCACTACAGTATATCTTTAGAGCAGTTATAAAAATGTCAGTGAACATAATATGGAAAAATATTTATTTTTTTCTGTTGGCTTTGGTTTAAAACAGACTTTAGAACGATGAGACATATGATTGTAAATTTGCCTTTTGAAGGAGACAATACTCTATGGCCAAATATGGAGTAAATGAAAGTGTGATGACAAATATTTTTTGTAAAGGAGAAAACACTAAGTTTTATTTATAAAAAGTAGCTGCAATATTTTCCTCTTGGCTTCAAAAACTATACCTGATATGCAGAATAATCTTATTTCTATTTCCAGTAACATCAAGGACATAATACACCACAGTCTTAGCTCTCAAATCATTAGCTAGCCAGAGAAATCTTAACCGAGCACAAAGTGTTTTACTGACTCATTTCTCAGTACCCTAGTCCAATCTCACCTCTAAGAGGAGCAACAGAAGACCCCAAATGGATTACATATTGCTAAAGATTTTAATAAATTATATGCTAATATTTAGGAGACATAAATTCTACTTTCTTCAGAGATAAAGATTACATCTGGATTAGACTTCTCAATCCAAATTAATTATACTCATTTTGGATTCAACAGAAGAAAAGAATTGTTTTTAATTCTGAGATGGATGCACTGAAAGCTTGCAAAAAACAGCGTTGTAGTATTTATAGCTAACAATACCATACGTGACACAACATTTCAGAGAAGCTAAATTCAGTACCACCTTAGGTAACAAACTAATTTCGGTGAACGTCTCAATATCATACATTTTTCTGCATTTCCCGGAACGTTACTGACATCACCTATAATACCTCATGGACCATAAGATGAATAAACACTTCTAAGAGAAACTGTGACTCCAACCTGTGCTTTGGTTAACCTTTTGACTTTTTAGGGGAACGAGGAAGTGTCAGATGGCACTCTAAAAAGAATGGTTACTTTCTTTCATACCTATTATGATAATTTTTTGTGTTCGCGTTTCTAATTTTTGGCAAACGTTGCACTCCGATGAAAAATGACCAACAGCACAAATGATCCTCCTCTGAGATTTAACTGATTCAACGTTTTCAGGAACAAAGCTAGCTCAAATGCGTTGCTCGCTCCTTTCCCGGCCATCCTTTTTCCTTTGCTTATTCCTTTGTAGCATGCCATGCTCAGTCCCACTGACATTATTAATTATGCAGCTGCGCTGTGACCTGGATTAAAAAGTTTTTTGCTCTAAAGAAAAAGAATCCACATTTTTCATTGGGTTGATTTTTGGCCAGATCAGAACCTCAATCCAGTTCACAGCATGGCTGCACAAACAGTTACCCTGGCACAACTGAGGGGAGCAGCCTGTCTTGGGATCGGGAGCAACTGAGAAGACTTTAAAATCAGTATTGTCTAAGACGTTAGGTCATAAAATCTAGTTTATTCTCAACAGTTTTTGTTATGGTCATAATTAGTAGAACACAGTTTAATATTACTGCAGTGAAGTGAAAGCTTTAAAACATCCAGAATGATAAACCAGTACAAGAATGAAAACAACTTAAAACTACCAATCTCTATTTGTCTCATAATCAGAGACAGTACAAAACGGGAGTTTTGGAGTAATGAGCAATTTTATATTTAACTGTGAACACCCTAAATGTGACTATGAATTAAGGAGTATAGAAGACAATTGGTGTTCCTTGACTTTCTTAGATTGTAATTTCAAATCAATTTTAAGTTAATTTAAATTTGTAGTACTGATATACTATGAGCTCTGATACTGCCTTAAGATCACACAGATAAACACATACATTAAAAAATACAAATATGTATTTTCACATTTATTTTTAAGAACACAACTGGAGCCCCCCCCACCATTAATGCAATATAAAAATACTTTCATTATAAAAATTGGTTAAATAACTCCTTTAGTTCTGATAATCTCAGTCTCTTAAAACAACACCACAACGTATTTATCATCAGTGTGTGTGATATTAATGAAAAAAGCAGTAAAAACAGATTCCGTACTATTTTATATTTAAAACTAAGATGAACTAAATTCTTCTTCTCATGAAGAATGACTCTTCCTTCTTTCCTACTAAAACTGATGAATTTTGCTCAGCAAGGATCGCTTAGTCTACAAACCTGTGTTTTCAAAACTTTTTAAGCAATTATTTTTTCAGCAATCTTAGACAGAATTAAAAAACTCAGGAATCAGGCATAAATCGTTGTGAGGAGAAAAACTTTCAGTTTGCCCAATTTGGTAACTGTGAAATCACACGCTGAATACACAGTGACTCTTATTCTGCTTCCAGCTGTAGGTCTTCAAGAAAAATGCCATTTCATGATGTTTTCAGATATATAATTTATAACTATAAACATTTATTAACAATGATGCTATCAGAAAGTCTTCTGTAGTGCACAGTACAATATAAAACAGAGCATATAGATCGCAAAATTCATATCTTGTTGTTTCTATTACTCCTTTAAATATAGAAATCAAACCAATGTAAGTCTGTATTAGGATATGTTATGAGACGTTTATTTTGTTGCAGCTTGCTTGCATTTACTCTCACTGGCGGAGTACTATGTTTAAATAGCAGAGAACAAGCAGAGTGATGTTGGCATACACGGGATTTTACTTACTGTTCTCTAAGTAACTCATTAGATTTATATAACAGTGCCAGCTGAGCAACTACTGGCAAGGCTTAGATTGCAAAAATTTTAACCTGTAAAAGATACTTGTATTTTTTTTCATACCTGCGTTGTGCTTTGCCAAATATTTGTCTTTGTACTGCTTTTTTTTCTTTCCAAACCAAGTACAGCTGGCCTGTTGCTCCTGTTTGGTCTTCTCCATGGCAATACAAGCGACTCGCCTGGCATATGGAGTAGAAAAATATATTTTGTTGCAGTAAATGTATTTTTAAAAGCCATGCAGGACGAATTACAAAAAGAAGGCTGTTTAACGTACAAGAATATAGTAAAAGTTTTCAAAACTTTCTTTTGTAAATAAGTGCTTTTCAGTCATCAGTGATATTTTGCTGCAGAGATTGTGGTAGATCATAAAGCTTACAAACAAAGGGAGCATGGGAGGAGGGGAAACTAAAATGGTTGTAGACCACTTTGCAGTAGTCTCGACTGGAAGAGTACAAAGTCTAGAAAGGCTACTATGGTCTGAATTATTGCAGGGCAAGCTTTGTTATGCTATGGAAGTCTTTTGATGTTGACCTTTAGGATGAAGTACCGCATGAGTCCCTGCTGTGATGTATACAAGTGTCTCCCCTATGCGAGGGCTTGCAAGGGAGTTCTTGAGATGCAACGGGCCGTCTACCCCTGCTTCTCTTCTAGCAGGATCTCCCTCAGCCGTACAGGTGCTTTTAGACTCTTAAAACACTCTAGTTCTTTAACCTCGCAAATCTGGTATGAAATATTTTGGGCTAGATTACCCATACTGATAAACTCTCTTGAGTTATGGCTGTAACACTGATGGTGCAGGACTTGCATTTGCCCAAACTCTGGCAAACCCTTTGGGAGTTTACTAAACAGGTTGTTTTCTGCAAGAGGTGGGTTAAATGCTTCACACTGCTCTTGCAGTAATGGGTGCCACTGTTGTTCATTGATCCTACCACTCATGAATCTCTGAACTGTTATTTCTTTCTACTTTTTGGTTTTCACAAGAATAAGGAAAAGGGGAGGAAAGACCCAGCTCTCTCAGTGACCTCTGTGCTTGACAGCTGTCTAACACCTCACTCCTGCAGCGCTTACATACATGTCAGCATTACTAGTCAAAACAGAGTTTAGAACCTAAAAGAGAAATTGATTTGATACCCTCACATAAGCATTTGCATGTAACCTTCAGTCCTAGTTTCCTGAAGCATATCAGATTGCACAAATAATGTTTATTAAAATAGGTGTTTATTTTTCTAATGTAACTATACAGATGATATTGCATGCAACTTTTACTGCTAGGCACATATGAAAACATAATCAATGCCACAGAAACTGAGGGAACAGCCTTTTTTTAAAAACGGGAAAGATTACATAAAAACTAGCTGTACATCAATGAAAAAGCATGAGAGACAGAAATACAAGTAAAGTTAAATTCATTTCTATAGAAAACCTAAGTCATACCATTCTTGGAGTTCAGGAGAAGGAATAAGACCGGCAGTACCATTTTTGGAGTTCTCCAGTTTACCCTGCCACCAGTTGTGATCATCTTTGCTAATGATCTGGATAATATCACCAACTCGGAATCTGATGCCAGCTTCCTTGCAGGGGATGAGGTCATCCTTTGCTGGATCATATTCAAATTGTGCTCTTACATATATCTATGAAGAAGAGTTTATAAAAGACACTGACATATTATTACTGGCACAGATATTACTGTTACAGAGTAACAGGTGAAAATTTGATCTGTGCATGTAGTTACAAATATTGTTTGCGAACAAGCAGAGGAAGAAACTGAGTGGCAAAAGCATACATGACAGTTGAAAATGAAAAGAAAAAAATTAGCAAATAATGGAGATGTGATGTTATTTTAAATGCTCGTGTCTTCTACATACTGAAAAACCTGAACATCAACAACAAATACATTTACACTTTTGAAGATTCTGTGTAGATCTGCAATAAACTAGTAGAGTCCCTCAGATCAATATTAATTGTCATAAAACATTACATATAGCACCTTATAGGTTGAGCTGTAGTTTATCTCCAACTAAAGCTGCACAATAAACTTACACAAATTGATGACAAGATATATTATTGAACAGTATAATGGACTTATGCTACATTATCGATCACATGGTATTAGATTTTCAGACTAAATACTAATTTTCTTTAGATTAAATATGAAATCCACAGCTGTGCCCACCACATATAGTTGTTTAGTGGGAATGTGGAAAATCTCTGCACAGTTTTTTCAGTAAAAGTCTGCTCCCATAGAAATGAAAACTAATGGTTTGAACAAGCTATTCTCCAAGGCACGTAAACAGTAAGAACTGGGACTCTGACTTTACAATTTAAATAACGTACCAATCCTCGCTTTGTGCAACCCTAGAAAATAAAAATAAAACAGCTCTAGGAAATAAAAAGAAAACTGAAATCCAGTTGTGGTTGCTAACTACAGTCTTGATGTATCCAAGAATCTTAAAAATCAGAGTTAAATGTCATGACCCGCAATGATGCGGAGCAGTGCTGACAGAATGAAGAGGAAAAATCAGATGCCCATTTCACAATTATGTGAGTTACACGACTAGATTTAAAGGTTTGGGTAATTTGTACAACGTGACTTCATACATCACCCTATAGAGACTCAAACAGCCACGTGTACTCTGCTGCTGATTTTCTAACTAAAAAAATTGATTAGGCTTTTTAAAATTTGTTTTATATTGCAAAGTAACATCCTGTATTTAAACTGTACCAAACACTTTTCAACCTTGCTCAAATTCTGCTCCAGAAAAACCTGTAATTATCCAGTATTAGCACTATTTATGGCACTTTTAAAAGTTCATTTCTATAGTAATTCAAATATGCAACCCAATCACAGGAATGAATTAACTTAAAATGACTAATCTCTACTACTCTGAAGTACTTATATCTGTTTAAAGTGAGAGCATCTGAGGATAATACTAATACAGAACTCAACTATTAATATTCTAAACCTGATCCTTTCTGCTATGCACTGAGTGTGTGACTTTAGACAAGCCACTCAACCTCTTTCTTCATTTATCTTTTAAATACGAGAAAAAGGATATTTTAAAACCAGGTGCTTTTACTTACTAATTTGCTTTCTACAAGGTAGTCAGTATATTGCTCTGATCCCCTGATTTCCCTGAGTCTAATATAGGTCTCTTCTCTCCTGGTAAAAATGCTTTGGGGAGAGCAGGGGGTGAGGGGTAGGGCAGAGAAAGCTAACACAACAGCATGGAAGGTCTTTTATAGAGCCTTTCCAGGACTATATTCAGGCAGCCTTGAAGCTTCAGAAGACATCAGAAAGATGAAAGAACCATGTAGCTGTAGATTTAAAAACGTGAAATAAAATGAGGGTAATCCATTTGTGTAATAGATATTCCAGCTGACCCAGTAGTACAAAAAGATTTTCGAAGACTACAGATCATGGAGTCCACTGACTCTTTTGGATGGAGATGAATTGCAAGAAATATTTCTAAAACCCTTGGTAGAGTAAGAGCTTGAGTCCGTGGTTAAAGATTCAGAGGCAGATTCTGGAAATGCTACATATAAAACGAGTAGTTATTGAAGATGAACCACAAATCACTTGATGCTATATGCTCATTTAGAGGCTGCAGTAAAAAAAAAAAAAATTAAAATTTCATAGGGAATAACTGGAAATCATCTGCAGAGCCCTAAAGGGCTTTCTCGGAATTCTCTGGAGAGGGAAGCTCTTTCTTTGGTTCATGATGCCATGTACAACTGGTTTATTCAGGGGTAGGGTACACAGTTTAGGGATCTTAGTGAATCTGGGACTTATGACTGAAAACATAGGAGGCTCTCTTCAGACTTACCAGCTCTTAATAGACACTGCCCTTAGTTTATTCTTTGAAGACCTCTGTAAACATGATTAATCATGAATCAACTAAAGCTTTAGAAGCTCTGTCAGTACAATGTTTTTAATTATTATAAACCCCCCCTATTAGTCTCAGTTTGAGCTAAAATGTAAAACTGAGCTTACCTACAAAACGAAAACCTGCGCAGGTCACTATGTACTTGCACAACAGTAAATCTATTAAAGTATTCTTAATTAAAACAACTTTCTCAAATTAAATTTACAATGACTTTGTAACTGTCACATATATGGACACACGAAAAAATGCTATTTTGAATTAGCCACATACAAATGAGTTAAAAAGAAAAATGGAAAAATGGAATAAATTCTCCAAGCTCAAATGTTTTAGTCCAGCACATACAGAACATGGAGGGGAAAAGATAAGCAGGGATGTTCACTAGCAGCTAAGTTCATAAAAATTCCCGTGGAGAATATCTATTCACCTGTCGTCCTTTTGGTTGTGTTGTCGATGGCAAGTCCTGCAGAATAAAGTCAACCCAGGAAAAGAAATTTTCATTTTACTTTTTAAGAGTATACAACAGCATTTGTTAGTGATTCATACTGCTTAATAGTAAAATGGCAAGTCAGACAAAAGTATAAAGCATTGACCCATTTTTAGAAAAACTTTTTTCTTAAAGAAAACTCAAACCCAGGCTGTTTAGCAGCAAGCTGAAGAAAGCGGGTAAAAAGTTTAAGCAGATAGAAAATGTGCTTTTTAATAAACGATTCAGCATCTTCAACACAAAAGCACCTGTAAGTGAAAGAGGCTTTTCATGTGAATGCCTTTTTCCACTTAATGCTTAGACTTGTTTTTAAAACAGAAGGATGCTATAAAAAAATACTGAAAATTTTATGATAAAAACTGTATAAGGCGATAAAAAGTGCCAAGGAATAAGACTGTAACTACCAATCATGTTACAAATTCAACTGAATCATGTTACAAATTCAACTGAATTCACCAAAATTTCTTAAATTTTTCATCCACATAATTACTTTCCATTGTAGTAATTAGAGTACTTTACCTAGTGGCAAATCATTTCTAAGTTGTAATTTTTTTTATTAGTTAAAGGCGTAGTTATTCTGTTTTTGGTTTTTAGCCAGCCCCAAGAGCTCATGATATTGACAGCACTGACTGAAGGAACTTGCATGTACAGTTACTACATTGGTCAGAACAACGACAAATGATGAACAACACAAATTTTAACGTCTACTACGCTTTCAAAATACAGGAGATCGACAGCACCTTTCTACCTGAATACACACAAAACAGGAAGTACTTTGTGTTAAAGATGTGATGAGAGTAGCTTGGTTTGTAGTGCAGTTTAAAGCCACTTCCGTTTGCTTTTCATATCCAGGCAAGGCTCATATTTCACAAAGTATGTGCACGTACCACAACAGCAGAGGGCACACCAATTCATTAACTCAGATAGCGGAAACCAGGACACATTCCAGGGGTCTCTCAAAACACAAAACTTAAAGAGTCTAAAATGTCTTGGAATAGCAACTGCACAATTATTCGTTCTTCAAACACTGCTTCCACAGTTTAGGATGGAAATACAACTTCCTCTTTAAACCTTTGCTTAGCCTTGAGGAAACCGCTAACAGTGTTTTAAGGATGACTACGTGTCACGTTACAGTTATTAACATTTAACTTGCTATATGGCTTTTAATGAGAAGAATATGTTGGAAAAAATCCTTAAAAAAAGAAAACGGGGAGTTATATATGTAATAACCTTGGTTCTACCAGTAGAACATAATTTTCCACTGAGCACACGGTAAGTATAACAGTAATGGGAGATGAGCACCAACAAAACTTTCACACTTGCTCTGTGTGGAACTGGAAATCTTACCGAAACAGAATTGTTAGTGCTGCTATGACCATTAGCTGGGGACTGTCTGGATGTAGAGGGGGAATCTCTCTGAAATAAGACACAAGGTTCATTAACAACACAACACTATCACAGGAACACAGATATATTTAAATGAACAGTTACATTCACAGCCTTATAACCATTTACTTAGCTGCTTTGTCTGTGAAAGTTTCCACACAACAAACTCCGTAAAGCTGAAAGTTTCTCATAGTTGGAGATTCATGTTTGACATTTTGATGTAGCCTACGGAATAACTATTTCTATACCGCCTTAGCAATCAAACAGTTTTTTAATTACTGAATGTCTGGGACCTCTTAATTCCTATCTGGTTGACAATGCTAAAGGTGATTAACCACACTGGAGCCTTTGTTAAAGGCAATTACCTAAAAGTTACATGCTGAATAGTTTGAACAGAACGAGGCACATGCTGCATTTTAAACAAGCTTTTAAATCTTTTTCCATTTATGCTGAGGTCAGTGTTGCTCAGTTTCTACTCCATAAGATGTATCTATACATAGCATCTGAAAGACAGCACAACCAGTGGAAGCTGACATATGAGAAGAAAATTCGATAGTCTCTTCCCCTTCCTCATCCATTCTACACCTTATTAATTTTTTTTCTCCAATATTCTTATGGGAGTTAACATTAAACTCTGCCAAAACGTATCATATCAAAAAGGCACCTTTCTTGATTCAGATTACCAGTGTAGCCCTATGCCTCAGTGAGAACAGAATAGATGCAGACTGCATACTAGAAAACTTTATGGAAAGGATAATAGGAATTTGTGACTGGGTCGTACAAAGGCAAAAAAGCCACTTGTTGAGCAATCTTTTTCCCACGCTATTTTTAAAGTATAGTACTTAATTCCATAAGATCAGGAAATTGAGTTTAATTAGCCACATCTTCAGGAAACCAAATAATCAACTCACACACCGTTTAGAAAAAATTCCCTTATCCCCCAAAGGAAATTTGGAATATAATGTTCCACATCAAAGGTCCCTTGAAGAATGTTTGCAAATATAAAATCAAGGACAGCAGAATAAAGGGCTGAAAAGAGTTTCCAAAGAAACGTTATCGCTGTCATATTTTATCAACACAAGTGCCCTTAGTGAACAAATTAGATATCAGAATTGCAGCTAAACTGCTGGTGCGACATTCATCAGGTAAATCACCTCCATTAATATTCACTAGTTGGTTACGTGATAGAACTCACAGCTATTTTAAGGCATCAATAAACAATTAAAATAACAGGCTATACTTTATCACCCTTGCTGCCTGTATGTGTAATGTGCAAAATACTCATTTAGAGCTTCTGGATTTTTTTTTTTAGACTCATTAGATCTGACTTTATATAAAGTCCCACGCAAAACTATCTAGATGCATGCTGTGATTTTAATACAGCTGAGTACAGATTTAATAGCATTATGGCTGTAAATTCTTTGTGGTTCAAAGTAAGCAGGTCTGTATACTTTTGCTACACGTCTAAGAATAAAGTGCATGCTCATTTAGCTCTTATAGTAATTTGCAATATATAACAGCTGAGGGAAAATCAGTTCTAGTTCTATTTACAAAATCATTCCAGCATAAAAAATTTCAAATAAGCTACTTCTTATTACAAAAGAAGATTATATATGCCTAAAGGGACTGTTATTCCATTTTTTGTATATGGTATGTCATCTGCACCTTTACCATCAAGTAGTGGCTACAAGAGACTTTCCAAAAAAGCAGCAGTTTCCTTCTCTCATAAATAGATCTTCCACTTAGATCAATCCTCTCCACAAAGTACCTGAGCCTTCAGGTCAACAATTTTGGCTTTGCTGACCTCTCTCACTTTCAAGAAGAGGTGAAGGATTAATTTTACTTTGATGGGATTTTATTTATTTCTTTTTCTAAATCTAGTTTATTATGATCCACATGCTATGATCTAGTCAAGTGATGGTTTGACATGGGAAGACTTTGAAGGTGCTGTAAGCACCCAGGTAATTTGGAGAAAAGTAAGTTGAGTCTTGCGAAGCATGCCATGTATTTCTGAACTCTGTTGATGGCTTCTCCCTTTGAAGGGAATTTTCTTGGTTTGAGAATATTTTGATTCATATTCCTCAAACAACTCTCAACAGAAGAGAGCACATTACTCGAGGCATATGTTCATCATGACAAATTGAGGGAAAAAGAAATCGATGTTTTCACTGATAATGGTGATTTCAGTACTAACTGTAAGAAATAAATGAAGCTAGTCAGGAAGCCATCTGTACAGTTTTAAAATATCTAGTCATATTAGCCACAATTTCAAAGGCATTTAGATTCTTATTTCCTAGAAACCTGACCTTTCTTTCTGAAAATATCAGGCTCAAAATTAAGAGAAAAACTGTATATTATGCACAGTCTAACAGGACAGAACAGAATGAGTAGAGACTCCCTTGCAGAACGCTAGGGCTGCTTAGAACTAGAGTGGAAAACTTCGGCTTGCATTAAGTTTGTTTCTCCATTAAATGAGAAAGAGTCTTAGTCCTCTTGGGGATAAGAGCAGAAAAACATTTGGAGGATCAGATGATTCTGAGTAGTGCAGAAGTGATGTCATCTTATTTCAGTATTACTTGAATATCTAGAATTCTCAAATATGTCTAACCCCAAGCCAAAAAACAAAGCAGCAGACTTTTGGATCCTTGCTCTTCAGTTCAAGCCCTACAGCTGAATCCTTAGAGGAAACAATCACAATCATTTCCAAATGATGGCAAAGCTACATAAATATTATTTTTAAATCCATGATGATTACCACTGGATTTTTAAAATCATATATATATATGCATATAAAGGCTTTTCTTCTTAGTCAAGCAATGGAAATGTTTCAGAGACAATTTAATTCATAACTGCTGTTGTTTATATGGAAAGTTCCTTGTAAAAAAACATACTTCCCTTAGCACTCTTACATATCCAAAACTATAAAAAGTTATTCAGAGATTTTTGTCAGTGGAAAGTAAGAACGCACCTGTAGCTACAGCAAAATGTTTTGCAGTTGGATATAGTACTAGGCAAAACGTCTGCATGGCATATGCAGTGTTAGCCATTAGAAGAATGTGTTGTAATTACTTATGTTCACATTCACGTATCAGTCTGCAATTTCCTCGGTATCCAAAGCAGAAAAACCAACATCCTGGTCAATGTGCTATCTAGATATATGAAAAGCTCAGGCCGTGTACCATCTTGATTACTAAAAAACAGATGTTCTCACAGTAGATCAACTGATCAAGACTTTATATACAGGAACTCACAAATATTATGCTTTCAAGCAAAGTCACACAAAATCAGAATTGCGTGTTACTGATCAAAAGCTTCTAAGTCTTAAACTGACTGTCAGGATCATAGAGTATAAATCCAAACCTAGCCTTAAAACCAGTTTCTTGCAGTAGTTTCTATTTTCTTTGCAGAAATTAGAGTAGGGACATGTTTTCAGATTTCGAGGGGAAAAGTAGTAGTGTGGCTGATTTGAAAAATTACACGGCTAGTAAGTCAAAGAGCCTTTCTGAAGCATGAAAGCGTTCCTAATAATCTCCAGGGATATTAGCGTTTCAATGAATAGTTTTTCTTAACTGAAAACTCCTATATTTCTTTTGCATCACAGATTTGGTAGCTACACTATTTGCTTTAAGAATACTCAACTGTTTCTCTCAAAAATTAACAAATATTAGATAAGAAAAATAAAATTCAAGATGAAGTATAATTGCCATATACGTAACATGGAAGTTCAAAAGTAAAAAGAAAAAACAACCCCTACCCTCCCCCCAAAAAAGGTGGGTGGGGGAGCCTTAGGAATGCCTTGGAAGCTCTGATAACTGAATGGAAGGTGTATGTGCATGAATCCCTAAAAAACTTGAAAATTTTCAGTTGAGATTTTGAAAACTTCCCAGTGACAGTGAAGTACTGTTACATCCTGTAAGGACAAGACTTCCCTATATATGCAAAAGTGGCCTGATATTCAGAAAGCATCACCTCAACAACCCGCTCCCCCCAATACCTCTATATATAAGGGCATATAGCAGATTCTGTATAAAGGGGATATAGGCAAAATATCTCTGATTATATGAACATTTAATTCTGCATATTTAAGACTAACAAGATATTTTGAATCCAATGATGTGAACATGGTAGGAAACTTGAAAAAACCTGCTGATTCTGTTTTATATTCCTCTTCTGGTAAAACTACACTACATTGTGTAGTTCATGACGGAAGGCAGGAAAAAAAACACCCAACAGAGTTCTAGAAATAACTGAAGTACTGCCAAAACTAGCTCAACTAATAAAATAACAACAAACTAGTGAAGACTGGATATTTCTGTATATACCCTGCCAGAGAGCAATAGAAAGAATGCTTTGTGGGGCTTACTAATGACATTCAACATCCATTTTTAGCCTCTGTGAATAGCTAAGAACTCGATTCCTCATCTGAATCACAATCCTGAAAAATTCTCAGAAAGAAACTTTCTATTTCTGAGACTAGAGATGATTTAATAGGATGAATTTAAAAGGTTAGCTTTTTGTGTATGCTCTTAACAGTTGAAAAGCTAGCCAAAGTCATAGCTGTGACAGAGCAGATGGAATAGATTCAGGTGCTTCTGATTAAAAGAATGCAAATTGCCACAAACTGTGATAAATAGACGGGCTTATTTTTTTTCTCTGCCTTTAATCACTCATTTTTAACTTTCCTGTTTTGTCCACATGAAGGTAAGAGTCTATGTTCCTCTTTCCTGTGGAATAAATATTGTGAAGAACTGAAAGACAGAAAACTAAGGAAAAGAGATGACTTACTACTACTAAAATGACATTTAATGGTATTAATTTAAATTCATTTGCTGGACTTATTTTTCTCCAAATAATCATCTTCCCAGGAATTATATAGTTTTTCCAGTTTCTGTAATTTTAACATTGGGAAGCGAGGTACTTTTCATTATTACTGCTAGTTACAGCATAGAAGTCTATACATAAATTCCTCATCACACTCTAGAATTTTTATTTAAGATTTTTTACAAAAGCGTTTACATCTCATGAAAAATGTTTGCTTTTACATTTATACCTCTTAAGAAAATTAGGCCTCATAGGTGAAAATCTGTCAAACCTTCTGTCTCTAAAATCTTAACCTTCTATTTTTTGATGACGTCTATTAAAAGTACAGAAGGCAACTCAAAAGTAGTATATTTTTTTCCCCCAAACAGGAATTGTAATTTTCTGAATTACAATAGCAGTTTCTGTATGCTCTAGCATCTGCTGAGATACAAAAGCAATTAAGATGAAATCCCAGGTCTAATTAAGCTAAGGTGCTTGACTTAAACAGGGATTGTGATTTCACTCTTATAATTCCAATTTGGGAACTGTTAGCGCAGTTAAGCACGTGGCACAGAAAGACTGGCATCATCTACATAGGGCAGATGCCATCTGTATGCTTACATTGAAACAGTGTCTCTCAAGTAGCCACTTTCTAGAACTTAATTGCGTTCAAATGCAATCTGGAGCATAACTCTGTGAGCAAGAAAGAAGCAAACAATCTGAATTTTACCGTGCAAAAAACATTAGATTAAGTTTTTAGGTCAACGAGAATCAAACTCCAAACCTATTTTTCTTCTGTAATGACAAAATAGTAATTTTGCATGGAAACATAAATATTAAGCCACATGTAACTGTTACAGACAACCATCACAAATTTACCTGAACAGGGTTATACAGAAACAGATTCTTCAATTAACCCTTAACAGCCCAAAGCAATAAAATAATGTTATATGCTTAAAGGAGGAGGAATGTTCCTCAGCTTAGGAACTCTAACAGACTTCCTGGAGAATGCATTTTAAACTGTGCTTTTCAAAGGGGCTTCCTAAACATATGAGTTGAAGGAACTTTAGAGGATTCCCTCCTCCTCCTTTTTTTTTAAAATAGGCTGTAAAGAGTTAGCTAAGGTGCTGATGAGATGAATATGAAGGCAGGGCTGAGTAGGTAGGTGGAACCTACTCATGTTCCGTTATCTTTGTTGTAAAATTGGTGTGCGTGATCTAACAGGACAGGCAGAAACAATTTCCCAGAAAGCAGTAACATTCAGCCATCAGCAGGCAGTTAGTTACGGGACTGAGGAAGAAATAGGATGGCTCATTAAATTCATTACCTCACAGGATGAAGATTGTGTGCGATAACTTGGCACAATCTTGAAGGTGATACTCCCTCGCATTTCCCTCTGCAAAAAGAGAAGCACTTCTTTAATGACTAGGACACTGAAGACAAAATCCCCAGATCACTAATGTTTGAAAGGAAACCATCACAGCTACTTTAAGAGCAGCAGTACGTTCTCCTAAGTAAATACTTAGGAAATCTAAAATACTATGACAAATTTGTCATTTCACTTAGAAACAAACATTTAGATAGTCTCTTAATAATCTAAAAGCCAAACACACGTTATCAGTTTGTTTGCCTGACTGGTTTTTAAATGTCTAGAAAATATAACTGTATTTTCAGGTAAGAAATGCACAGGTGTGCAGGTTTCTTCCATGTCAACCTTTTCTTTGTAGCTATATTCTTGTGATCTACGCTGTCTCTACTGCAAAAGTGACGTTTTCTTCCCTTTTAAAACAATATTCAGACTTTCTGAAAGAGCTGCATGTCACTCCACTAAGGGTAGAAACAAGATCGCCTTTCATCAGGACAGAAGATGGGATCTGCTATTTTGCATTTACTATAGTAAAGAATATTCATAAGAAGTAGTAACTGCAGATTACCTGTGGATTATGGTAACATATTTGCGTAGCCATATTTTCCTAAATGTCAAGTAGCACATAAATGCCATCACACAGCTGACAGCTGCAGGATTTGATTTGGACAGAAGGGCAAGCAGACCACTTCAAGCGAGTCCTTAGTGCCTTTTCCCTTCTTCTCTGTCTGGCTTACTGTGAGCCAACAAAATATGATTTGCCTGGACTCACTTAAGCTTGTCCACCTGGTTTTAGATATAACAAAAGGAATAGCAATACCATCCAAGATCCCAGGATTAGGGTCGTACACAGAAAAAAAAAAATGTTATGGAATATAAAACTGACTATTAGCAAGGCCCAAGATGGAGTTTTTCTGCAAAGAACCAGACTGAGTTTGAAATCTTTGTAACATCAATAACCACGTACAATCATCTTTGCAACTTGACACTACTTCAGTGTATGGCATGATAGGACGTACTGAATACAATAATGCAGTTAAGTCAAGTCAGGAAGCCAAAAGTCAGTTGACAGGAGATGTCTGGTGAGCCCTGACCTTGTGGATTCAGGATTTATGTAGACGAGGACTTATTTCTCACTCTAAATGTTCCCAACATGGACTGAGAAAGGAATTTGGTATAACGGGGCCATATGCACATGTGAGAATCCTGTCCCAGCTCATATGACACAATTTATGGCTTAGGAATTCAATTTTCTGGCTACAAATAGAAGTGCATCCTACTGTTCAATCCCACTTCAGTGTCTGCTTCTTTCTCTTTTTTTAAAAAATCATTTAAAAATAGGTAGTGTGAAAGACAGAAGCAAATTTATAATTTATCACACACACTGCTTTAGGGCAGGACTGCTGTTCAGAGATAACTGGTTAAAGGATGGGCTAGCAGAACCTCATGAAATTAAACAAGGACAAATGCGAAGTCCTGCACCTGGCAAGGAAGAACCACTTGCTGTGATACTGACTGCGGACTCATTGGCTGGGTAGAAGCTCTGCAGAAAAGGAGGAGGGTGGCCTGATGGACAGTAAGCGACATAGGAACCAACAGCGCACCACGGCAGGCATCAAAGCTAAAGGCATACTGGGCTGTATCAGTAGGAGTGCAGCCAGTAGATTGAGGGAAGTGATTTTCCCCCCTTTCTTGGCATACATTAAACCACCATATTGGGCTCCCCAATACAAGTGTGTTGATAAACCTCAGTGAGTTTAACAGAGGGCTACCAAGATGGTCAGAGGTCTGGAGCACTTGATGTATGAGGAGAGGCTGAGGGAAACTGGCTTGCTCAGCCTGAAGATGGGAAAGCTTAGGGAGGACCTCATAGTACTCATCCAGTACCTAAGAAGAGGTTATCCAGAAGATGGAGCCAGACTCAGACACTGAGGTGTATGGTGGGAGAATGAACTACAATAGTTATAAATTGAAATAGGGGAGGTTTCAGCTGGACACAAGCAAAACTTGTTTTTCCCCTACAATGATAACCAAGTATTGGAACAGGCTGCTCAAAGACGCACCTGTCCTGCCAAATCTCTGTCCTTGGAGATTTTCAAGGTTTGAGTGGCCAAAGTTCTGAGCAACCTGGGCTGAATTCACTGTTGACCCTGCACTGAGCAGGGGATTGGACTGGAGACCTCCTGAGGTTACTTTCAATGTCTTTGGATTTGTATAGCAATTATACCACTAGGCAAAGTTTCTTTTCTCGCTCAGTATACTCAGTGATGACAACCGGTTTAGACTGAAGATTTGAAGAAGCAGGACATAATCTTCACAGACTAACTTGGAATAAGTAGTAGGCATATTTTTTCTGTCATGTTCACTAGAGACAAGACAAGAAATTACTGCATTGCAACAAAGGAGATGTAGACCTTATAAAAAAATGTCTAAAACGTAGGACAGTTATACACTGAAGTCGATTGCCCAGAGTGTGGGGAACTTCCACCACTCTATTTTTTTTTTTTAAAAGAGCTGGTTAGACATATATATCTGTTGGGAATGATTCGGTGACTATGATTTTCTCCCTGGGACTAAAGGGAATAAATAAAACAGTATCTGGAGGTGCCTTCTTGTACAATGTGCAAAAGAGTTTAGAAGGCGCAAATAAGACATTAGACCCTGTAACACGCAAAAAAAAAAAGGTGGGGGGGGAAGATAGGGTCTGCTCCCTGAATGCTGTAACAGGAAGATTTTGGGTTACAGGCCTACGCAGGCTATCAAGAATGGAAGAAAAAGGAGAAGCCACAGTTCAATGAAAAGTTTTGTGAAAAGAAGACGCTTTATAAAGAACATCAGCAAGCTTTCAGGCACTTACAAGCATTTTCTGTAGTTGTTCTACAGTTTGATTTGCCACACTGATCCCATTTATTTCTCGGATTTCATCCCCTACATGTAGTGTACCTGCAGAATTAACAAAATAGAGGATCACCCCATACAGTTATGATAAAATTGTAAGACAATACTAATATTCATACAAATTCATAAATACAAAACAACATTGAGGCAAGAGTTTGGGCTAAACTCAGGAAAGGACAATGGTAGCTATGCATGAGGAATCTGTCTTTCCGAGTGAAGTCAATAACCCAGCATAAAATGCCCTGGCACCACACACTGTACAGGGAAAAACCATCAATCCTCTTACCAAGACACTCCAAAAACCTACATGTTGAACAGAAAGCCACCTGCAGTGAATCAACTGGAAACATTCAGAGATATCTATTTGAAACCATCAAACTCAAATGTTAGAGACAAGTATTTTATCAAATGATTATTTAATGTAGTTTGGTCCCTGGCCACACTCTAGACTTTATCTGTTAGCTGTTGTATTTCTTCGTTTTTGTGATACTGAAGCGCATTTCCTGTATGCACGCTTAACTTCAACTTGAATGTAGATGCCTGGTGTGACTGCCTACAACCTCGGACCATGAAACAAATCTCTACGTATTTCAGGAAAACCATAACTTGATCTGCTGAAGCTGGAATGGGAATGGCATGCCCCGCGTTAGAACGACAGGACTTCTAAGACACTACAAAAGATTGACAAGGATGCACCAACAAGCTACATATCCTCCAGACTGGGAGCTACCTAGGAGGCTCTTTTTTGACCATAATTTTAGATTTGAGTAGTTCAAGCCCATCTAAATTTCTAGCAGTTCTTCAAAAAACCTCCATGACTTATTTTTCCAGATATTTTTCCTCTACAATGAAATAATGTGACAAGATCATCATTTCACATAGATACAACATTAACTTCATGTATATTACCTTTTGTTGTATGACCTAAATAATTTATGCAAGTATCCTTTTCTAAATACTCTACTTGATACAGTTAATTTTACTTGGAAAACAAACAGTTTGCAAACTTTTCCCAAAGCAAAGCATATCTGTGGAACACCACCTGAAAAAAGCAAACCAACTAGAATTCTGAAAGTTAAAAAAAAATTCTTAAGTGTTTTTCTGGATTAAAATAGTCACTTTTCCAAAAAACACCCACACTAATAAAACATTCAGCTTGACAAACATATGAAATTCAAGCTTTGCTTGATAAACACAAGCAGAGCCTGAACAAAGAAGAACAGTCCCAAATTACCCTGTTGCTGTGCAAACCTCACTTGGCAGTGCTGCAGAAGAAAGCCCAAAGTTTACAAAAACTTTCAGCACAGTCAGGATTAAGTCCTTCAGTCAGATTAAATGCTCTAAGCAATTCTACAGAACTTAATTGGTTGATAGCGATAAAAAAAAAAAAGACTCATCACAATCCTACTCTTCAGTGGAAAATTTATTGCAATTAATAGTTTACTGAAAGTTAATGCAACAGTCCTGCATTTGAATTTCAAATTAATCTAGCTCACATCGAGAACGTTAATGACCCAATCTTTAATAAAAAGTTTTGAAAATTTAGTTTCGGCAGACTTTCTCAGGAAACCATTCAATACCCAATTCTCAAAAAATATTCTAAAAGAAATGTGGCCCTGTTTTTATTTTATCATGCCAAATGTAAATTGTATTTGAAGGGAGCATAATTGTTATGGAACAATAATGCTGAATCACAAAGAGCACATGACCTGCAATACTATAAAGATTCTTTGGCATTATTCAAAACATAAATCTGATGAGGTTAAATATTAGAATGAGAATCAGACTGGGTAATAGCTTTGCATCAAATCATTTCAACAGTGCACTTAAATAAAATCCCTTATTCTGGAACATTTCCCATTTCTTTCTTCTTTTACCCTGGCAGAAGTGAACTTTGTTCTGTACGTGACTGGAATGTAGCAGTATTCATAAAAGTTGGGAACAGAGAATGGCCATTTAACAGTAGAGGGTCATTTTGTGGTAAGGGGTGGATGGGTTGGTAAAATACAGGAAGCAATTTCCAAACTGAGGGAAGAGGCTTTTATTATTTGCAGAATCTTTTTTTTCTTTATATATATTCTTGTTGGAAAAGAGTATTCCTGACACCTCTAAATAATGAATCTTCCCATTAGTTGCTCCCATGAGCTGTTACAGATATGCTTAACCATCTAATTTTGGTTCCCTTTCTATTGGCCGAGTTGTGTTTATTCAGAACTTTGACTATAAGCTATTCATGATTTATTCATGTAATAATAAAGGATAGATGGATTTCTGGAGTAAACAATTTCCTTCTTTGTCTTTGCACGCCACAGTGAAGACATTTTTAGCAAGCATGCACTCTTGCTCTATACAGAGTTATGAGAGCTCCCACCCTATTAGGGAGAAGGATGAACAAATTCTCAGAGTCTCTACTCAGAAACATGCTTTGTAGCCAAAGGAAAATCCTGTAGCTTGGAGAGCATAAGGCTGTGAATGTACCATCATACTTTCACCAAGTTGTCACATGCATTTTTATTAGAGCTGAATAAATCTTACCCAAGGCTAGCAGTGTCTTAAAATCACAGCGTAACACTATTTTGGTGAGATTGACATTAAGTCACTTCAAAAAGTAGCATACACAACGTGCAATTGCCATTTTTCCCATTGGGTAAAATACGCAGCCAGTGAGTCCTCTCTTTTCTTTGGGAAATTTATTTTCAAAAAATGCTATGTTGGGACCTCTTCTTAAACAAATCTTAAAGTGAATTCACCTTTTGGCATGCACACCCCAAAACCAGTCAGTCAAAAGGGAAAAAACCTGTGGGTTTTGACAGTGAGACCTGCTAAGAGCTCAGGCTATATGCAGCAGATCCCTAAAAGTACATTTACAAGCTAAGAAGTCTAAACAGATTATACCGATAATAAACGAATGGACGCTTGAGCTAAGTTAAAGCACAGACGCAAAAGTGAAAAACAAGATGTACTTAAGCCTAAGATCTAAGAGATTGTTCATATAGTTACCCTAAAAAAGCAGACAAGTCAATGAACCGACAAATTTTAACAACTAAAAGTGGTATTTCACATTCATGGAGCTGAATCCTCCAGAAGGTGAAAGCAGACAACATCTTTACAATTCTATCTTCCTATTTCAAGTTCATCTTTTCAGTAAGGATCATTCGAATCAGCAGGACCAGATGCAGCTGGCATATAGATGAGAGGCAGACGCCACAGTAGCTACTGTATTTTGTGATGTGGAATTGCGCAGTTTGAACTTAATAGTGCTAAGCGAAATTACACAGTTCCTGTAATGCTCCCAGTAGACCTACTATTAAGTCACTGCCATTACTGCCTGGCAGTCTGCCATACAAAAAGACAATAAAGCAGAAACAATAACATTTTGAAAACAAAACAAAACAAGAAAAGCCACAGACCCTGTCAAAAGGATTCAAAAGATATGTTGTGCTCAAGATCACTGTCAGCTTATATTTGGGCTGTTCTGTTCAGTAAAAATATTCCAAATACAGGCATTTTGAATGAAGCAGTGAAGTAACAGGCATCAGTAGAGCGCTTAAAAAAAATAATTAAAAATACTCAAAAAAAAAAAAAAGACAACACTACTACAGAAAAACTGAAGTGTGGTTTGTTTCCCAGCTAAATCTATGTGCAGAAGAGCTACCTTAATTAGACGAAGCACACAGAACAGGTTAAATTTCCCATGGAATTTTCAGAAATAAAAGGTGCTGTAAAATTAAAAAGAAAATAGAGTTCTAATGGGCATAGTTGGAATTCTTTAACAGGTTTTGAAAGGCTTTTATTACCATGTAATGGAACAGTCACTTGAAACAATACTTTACAGAGGATCACCATTACCTAAGTATAGTCAGAAAAAACCTTTCTGCAAATCTTACAGGACAATCTCCTTTTAAAAATCACTTTTAGAATGCAATTAAATTTCAGTTCAGAGGATCCTTTCAAGGAATATACAAAGCTATATAAATTCTCATCTTTGCTTTTATGAAAAGTATCTTTTATACTTTTTGAAAAATTTGGCCATGTCAAGGAATCCAAGTGAACATATCAGGGAAAGCCATCACTACATTTGTTTCATGTTTTGTTTTCCAAATTATCTGTTCCTAACTTATTTTGAAATAGAACAGTAGGCTACAAGGAACTTTGGTCTGACAATTTATGACAATTTTTGTGTTTATCAAAAGAAAAGGTTCACAAAATGGAAAAACTAAAGTAAATCTTTTAAAGGTGTGATCCAAACTTGCAGCTAACAATCTACCAGGGAAGCTTGTATCTGTTTAAAGTAGGACAAAGTCGAGCCATTAGTTATTTCTGACATCTGATCTAGACATAGAAAATGGGAAAAGGAGTAGAATGGAGATGAGAAAAGATGCATGTCTGCAGGGTTTGCTATAGTAGTGAAAACGGAAATAAAGATTCAAGTTGTATGCCTAAGAAATATTTGCATCCCAAATTGTTTTTACAAGCCCCAACGCTGAATGTACAGAGATCCTCAGAGAGTCTGTGAAAAGACATGGAGAAGCCTAAATTTTTTCCTGAACAAAGCTCTTTCATTTTGCAAGGAAAAGTACTGCAACTATTCTGAAGATTTTTTTTTTAATAAAGAGTATTATATAAGTACAGCTTAAAAAAATTAGCACTTCATTCTCTTGATCAGCTATAATCTTGCTCCCCTAATTAAGGCCTAACTGAAACATGGGCCCTCATCTGAAAACACTGACAGACCACTGAAGGTAGTTCACAGGACTAATAGATAGAGAGGTCCACTACTACAGAATAGTAGCAATCAAAATGAGTAATATGTTTCGCTACATGTTTTGTACAAAATGATCTAAATAATCCTATTTGAAAACAAAACTACTTACGACACATGATTACCTTGCCTGTGAATCATTCCTCCGTGCATAATTCTTGCCACGATGCAATGGTTCAGCTCATTCATTTTCAAAGTGATTCCCTTGAGAAAGAAATTGTTATATTCTTAAGATAAAACATTAAAACATTCAACTGTATAATTCTTGAGTGGCTAAGAATGATCACTTTTCCCGAAAGTCTGAAGATAAGGTACAAATTTTAACATAAAAACATTTGCTTATTTATGCCACTTAAGTAGGGGCAGGATAATTTTTTTTTTTTTATTTTACAGATGGTTTACCTTGCAATGAAAACAGATGTCATTTGTCAGATGAAGATGCAATAATTTAATACAGAAGCATACAAGATTCTGGTTTGTTAAAAATGTAATTTTGTGCTCAAGTGCAAACAGTCCAGCACAGTTTTATGCTCTAAAGCTTGATCTAGTATAACTACTGCAAAGCTGTTTTTAAACAAAATCATTTATAGTGGTGCAGCCTGTAGTATGGATACACGCATAGCATTTTAAGTTATCTTCCTTCACAGGGGGATATTCATAGGAGAATAAGTATACACGCTAGCTGCTGAACTATTCCAACTATATTGGCAGCTCTACTTCAAAGTGAAGAAGCTTGCTTTGAAATCACTGTACCACTAGTCTTTAACAGTACAGAGTCAAGAAAAATACTGAAGTTCCCTCCATACCATTGGTTCATCTGTGTTCTTCTGAAACTGTACCAGTCGAACTCGTGTTACGTTCTCCATATCCATGTCGCCGTTGGCGCTCTCTGGAGAATCTCCGTTTAAGTATGGAGAGGTGGGAGGAGGTGTAACTCTCAGCGCTTCATCACTGTAAACTTCATGTGCCACTACATCGTGAGTTTGAAGTAAGGCCTAGAGGAAATCACAGTAACAAAACATGAGACTTCCACGATATCAGTTGCCCCTGTTCATTCCTTATAAATGTTTTTGGATTTCTCCAGAAATTAGAGCAAACCCAAGATACCACTGCCTCATTTTCTACATAGGAACTTTTCTCTTAATGGAATCTAAGGTAAGCTTCAGCAGACTCCAAATGCATACACACATGCCCAGCCTTTGGAATCTGCACGAGTAAACCTAACTTTCTAATGTAGATACCACAGTGAGAATGACACTGCTCCCCCTCTCCCTTACATTCTCAACTCTTGCAAGGTTTATTGAACTTAATGGGAACTGTTAAGCTCAGAATTAGGCTATCTCTATTTACATGCCTAGGCATAGAAATTAGGAAGCTAATATTTAGGGCAAACTATTCTATAATGAACATCCTTTAAAATGAACATTTATTCAGATCCCATGGTAGTTCATTATAATAAAGACAGACTGTGGGTCAGTACTGACTGAAAGAATGAAATACTGTTTTTTATTGTTTACTAACATAACTACTTCCATATTCCCCCATCCTCTCAGAGCACAGACCCAGCATAATCGCACTGAGTTCCAAACACCTGATAAAAAATATAGTCTAAAACAATAAACTGCTCAAATACTACTTCATTATATTTACTCTCTTTCCTGCTGTAATGAATGGCACAACTGATTAAATGTATTTAAATATCTTTGATAAATACACCGAGTGACTGTGTAAGCATTCTAAGCTAGGGCAAAGACACTAAGTCTATATATAAACTGCTAAAATGTAACGCATTATTATGAGATAAAAGTTGGCCGAAGCGTAAACGTTTGCAAAGCAGTATTCAAAGACCACCAGGCTTTTCTGTGATATGACATCCCATTTTTCCCCAGCGGATTGTTAAGAACCCTATAGATTATCTCCATTTCACATTTGCACTGAACTCTTACTAATGAAGATATTATGGCTAGGTTGCTTCTGTCAAAAAATAAACAGGATTTACACATGAATGTGCTAGTACTACACCTCTGTTAACTCATCACCAAACAGAGAAGGGCTTCTCAGTTCAGGATTGAAAAATCAAACCTAGTTATTACCATATATAACACCAAATATCAGTCACCATATCGGTTTGGTCAATCCATGCTAATTGTGTTGTTAATTTTCATTTAACTATACATCGAATGCTCATAACCCTTTAACTTGCAAAACCCAGTCTTGCAAGGCTTGAGACTGACTACCTAGGATTTGTTTTGGCAGAGAAATCTGACTTTGCAACTGCTTACTCTTCAATTAAAATGCTTAAGTGAGACTTAAACTGAAACGGGTGATACAAAAACATCCCTACAAAATGTATTTCTGAAGTGGAATGCAAGGCAGTAAGGGGATTTTCATGGCTTCTATAAAATCCTAAATGTGTTCCCACGATAGCACTTCTAAAGTGTACCATGTTATAAAGGATAACTTCATAAACTTATCAAAACATTTTATTCCTCATCAAAAATACTTTTTATGGAACTTTAGCAAGACAATTCTGAAAGCCGGTTTTAAATTATGAGGATATCAGTTGGAAATGGAGATACCTATAAAAGATGATTTCAGATTCACTTTTTTTGTTGCTTAGGATACTAAATTTTGATATGCCACAATGATTTTACCTGATGCCTACTTTGAAAATAATTTATACTTAAAAAATGGTCTTTCTCCATAAGGTATAATGTTTTTTGCAATTCTGTGTGGTACTTATGCAAAAAAGATAAATAAAATAAACTTGTCAGATTCCAAAAAAGAAGCTGAGTACCAGTTAGCACTGTTTCTGTTTTCTTTTTTTTTTTTTAATCATTCCTAGAACATGGCTGAGTACATTGTACCCTGTTTTATTTTCTATTTCAAGCATATATCTCTGTTAAATGTTGAACCACATCTGCTACAGATTCAGGACAGGTATCACTTGCAGGCAGTGGCATATCAGGGTGTTGCAGAGAACAGAGGAAAAAAATTCATATGTTTACATTAGCAATTAGTTCAATGAATTAGGAGTGGATCAGCAGGATAAACAGCTGGGGTGCTGAAGACCTGACGTTCGCACGGTATGTGTTTCAGGTGTTTTTACTTCTAACAGCTTCCATCTTGTCCTGTGGACTGAATGTCTGTTAGCAGCTGGATTACATTGGATGAGCTTCTGAAGTACATCTTCAAGTTTAATTTTATCTGAAAGGAGTCTAGTGTGCATGCTTTGAGACCTGTACGTGATACCAGCCAACGTGCTGCAAGGGGATAATCAGGAGAGTCAACTAATTTGGCACTCCAAACAGGAAAACAGATGTACCCAAAGCTACTCTGGTCATCAAAAGAACATACTGGGACATGCAGCTATCCAGATTTCATCTTATACCTGAACATGAGGGTGGTTTCAGCTCGCTCTTTCTTGGAAATTAGGTTATCCTTCAGGCTTTTTATAAGATAGTAATTCAGCTTTCAGGTGAGCAAATTCCACAAAGCCCACTGCATATAATCCTTGGGTTAGGGAGAGTCACAATACATTATTTTAAACTGACAATAGTGTATATCAGATTTAAGAAAACAATGTTTTATTTCTGAAGCTTGTGAACTTAATCCACAGCATTAACAAAATAAATCCTTCAACTACTTTGAAAAGATTGTGCACTTCAGTGATTTGAATTAGGTTATTAAGTGGTTACACCCCAACTTACTGCCCAGAAATCAGGTCTGTGAAACAGTAGTTGATATGTAATACAAACTCACTAGACAGTGCATGCTACTGATTTATTGCAATCTAGTGTTAAATAAGCATGTATTTCAGAACAAATTTACATATCTTTATCCTAATAAGGCCTTGGGAAAAAAGAAAAGAGAATCCTAGCTCTGTCTATGGAGATCCAGAAGGCTTCCTTCCTCTTTTCACATCCCTCCCAGCTCTCCACAAAAGACCATGAAAATACAAGCATAATTTGTATTACTCCAAACTGAAGCGCTCAACTAGAGGCCTTTGGGCTGGCCCATTGAAGTTTTAGTTGCCTAACTAGCGAGACAATTCTACTTAAGAAACAACTGATTAATGTTTGGTATGGGAGGGGAAAAAAAAAAAGGACTACTGCATTGCCGTTATAAAAGGTTATTGAAAATACTGAAGAGAGTTCAATGAATAATATGTTACTCCTTTTATCAGCATGACTGTCAGATTTTTCATGCTGTTCTCTATAATGATTTCTTTTTGAAACAAAAGGAAGGAAAATAAAACATCTGAAGCACTGTTCTACCAGATGAGCACTGGCCGCTTTGAATAAGCGTTCCAGTTGCTGCTCATCCTTGTAATAGCTGCATGCAATGCAATTGCTTGCAAACATATTGGTCCCACAGTAATTGTAGCTGTTTTGCCAGTCAGTAGATTAGAAATATTTATGAACAGGCATATTGTATTTGTATGAAGTTTCATCACTTGCAGATTTTAGGGATAACTTACTGAATTTAAGGTTTTTTTTTGTTAAATAATGATGAACATATTTAAAAACAAGAGTAGCGTTTGCTTACCATGAAATGAGGTTGTGTTAAAATACGCTTTAGCTCCTTTGCATCATTGTTCTCTGGGTAACATGAAATTTCTTCTAATACCTGCAAAACAAGCAGGAAAAAAGTCTGTCAAGTCAGTAATTTTCTTTTAAAATAGAGCTATTAAACAAACAAATGGAAACCCTCACTCGTTGGTCAAAATACCTCCTCATGATGATACCAAAAAAAGGCTTATGACAGAAAAGGGCTTAGGAGAATGTCCCTCCACAGAGTCCAAGAGAATAAATATCTCAATTTTTTTTCTGTGAGATGAAAGAAATTTGAAGGAAGCAGTTGCTCTTTCTTCAATCAATAACATTCCTCTAGCAGGTAAGTATCATGGAGACAGAAGTGAAGCACTAACTGCAGGTGACACACATCACCCCCACCAACTGCTGCTTACACACACAGTCTCAAACTTACTAAAACAATCAATTTAAAAGGAAAATTAAAAATATACATAAAATATCCTCTCTGCAAATTAAAATATTAGATGGTCCATCTGCTGCACCACCTCCAAATTCCAGATCTTACAAATCTGGGCCATATTTCAGCTTACCATTTGGGGAAGAAGGAGGGAATAAGTATGTTTCAACTCATTTGCTTGCAGCATGATAAGTTCACCTGTATTTTCAACATGCAACTATTTGGACAATGGTAGCAGAGCATTTTGCTTTTGGAAGCACCTCTCAGGATTTACAGCTAGGAAATTCTGCAGCATAGAACTTTGTGGCTTCTATCAGTGTGACTTCAGTTATTATACACTTTTAAAGTCTTCTTGTTCATTCTGTTTTATTAGCACTGTGAACAAGTTTTTCCTATGACATCACCCTCAACAACCGTACAATATTTATGGTTGCTATATAATACAACTATTTATTTATTACTTCTCTTGCGTTTGTCAGGTATAAGAATTAAGAAATTCTCTGGTGTATTTATCTTTGATCATTATAGCCAATCTTTATTGTATCTCTATTATTGATACTATTATTGATACTCCCGTTTTTTCAAATTTAAAAGGTTGATACCTAGAAAAAAGATACATACATATTTGGAAGAAGTCATACAAACATCACACTTTTGCTGCAGGGGATTATATTGAGCATAAAAGATACTGCATTTGGCCAACAGGAGTATTCCTTTTAATACTGCTATTATTGTGTCAAAGGCTAAATGATGAAACTGATTAATACATATAATCCTCATAGACATAATGGAACTTTGCAAGTTTATGCAATGTGCTATGTAACTTAAGTAAGCAATGTTAGAAGTAATTCCAGAGATTAATTAAGATATGAGCCAGAACACATATCTGCATTTTAAACGATGATGAAAACGTTCCACAATAAAACTTTCAAAGGCAGAAATATATCTTAAAGCCATTACCTCTTTGGCTCTCTGTACAGCATCACTTGGAGGATTCCTGATTTGCGGTGAAGATTTTGTGTTAATTTTGTCATAAAGCTGAAATAACAAGAAAGTAAACTGTTGAAAACACGTGCTTTGTACAGTTATGATAAGCCCCAACAAAAGTCTGCCTACATTACTGTGAGTAAGGTGAACTGGTAAACTGCAAGTCCCACAGACGTTTGGTACAGAAAAGCTAGTAGCTTGTTCTCTTTTTTTTTTTTTTTTTTTTTTTTATAACATTTCCTGATTTGAACAGTACCCTGCATTCGGAATTTATACAATGACCTGGGAAAGTGTGAGAGGTTAAGGAATTCTGCAAACTTCCCAGGCATTTTCAACCAACTTACAGAAACCATAAACTGGAAGCAATGCAATGAATCTTGAATAAATTCTCTAAATCATACGTTCTGCTATATATTCAACTTATTCTGCATATACCACTTTTCTCAATAAATCAATCATCCCAAACACTAATTTAAACAGAGCTCAGAACATGGGAAAATGTATTACCTGATTGAAATGCTCTTGAAAACAAAAAGCTACAAAAGCCTAAGTCTTTGGAGAAGAGTAAAACAATTCTACCTGAGAAACAAGGCTCACGTAAAGATTACCCTTGTTTTACTAGGATTTTCATTGGTTAGAAGAATGCCAGTTTATATAAATATGAAATCATAAAGCTCTCAATTTCAAATTAGAAACTGATGTTACAGGCTCTCACTCACACAAAGCTAACAGAATGCACATGTTTTAAAGAAATAAATGTTTACTTAAAAACACATAAACATTGTAATAAGTACTAATTTCCAATTAAAACCTTTGGCTTACAATTGAAACAATATAATGATGATTTGCCTGTAATTGCTTTCTATTTATGTTAGGGTTCTCTAAAATGTAAGCTAGCCAAAATAAACAACTATTTTTAGGGTATCAGAGAAACATTTAATGCAGTGAGGGTGGTCAGACACTGGAACAAGTTGCCCAGGGAAGCTATGGAATCTCCTGCAGATATTCAACTGGACAAGGCCTGAAGAAACCTGATCCAACACTGAAATTAGTCCTGCTTTGGGCAGGGGATTGGACCAG